ATTTGATTAGGAATGAAAAGTTTTATACGTGTTGCGATGAGCCTTACTTGGATATAACGTTTAACATTACCATGCGAAGAAAGACTCTTTTTTACACTGTAAACATAATAATACCATGCATGGGTATATCGTTTTTAACGGTACTGACTTTCTACTTGCCTTCTGATAGTGGAGAAAAGGTATGTAAACAGGCTTACTATTATTAATGATATCCAAAATATATTTAATACAAGATCCAAAGATAAAAATATTTTTTTTTTTTTTAATTATTTAATTCAATCATTTTTTTGTTTTTTGATATTCAAAACGTTTATTTTCTAATTTTTTTTTTTAATGTAATAGTTTATGGGATACATTAGAGCCTTTAGTAATAAAATTTAGTCATTTTTGAGTTCAACAACTTGATACATACAAATACAAAGGGATAGATTGGGTCTCTTCGGGTTAGTTCAGATATTGCTTTGTTCACTTTCTAGTTAATTGTTAAACATTTTAAACTGGAAAGTTTAACAATATATTTCGTTGTGCGGAGTACATACATTGCCCTCATGCAGACCATAATTTAGTAGTTTCCGGCTAATCCAAAGCGGTTAAATGACAGTCCATTTGCTAGAGATATAACCATACAATCTTATTCATTTCGATTTAAATACAATTCTTCAATTCAGTTTCTTTTTATTAAAATGTATTTTGATTTATTTGCTAAATGCCATTAAAAATAATTGTATGTTTAAATTTTAAAATTTAAAATTCTTAAATTTTAGGTCACTTTGTCCATCTCGATCCTTATTAGTCTTCACGTGTTCTTTCTCTTGGTCGTGGAAATAATTCCGCCAACATCTTTGGTTGTACCTTTGCTGGGCAAATATCTGATATTTGCCATGATATTGGTTTCCATAAGGTAAACAATTCAGTTCATAAAATAGAAAATAACATTAAATTTGGTATATTTATTTAGTATTTGTGTGACAGTTGTCGTTCTGAACGTACATTTTCGATCTCCGCAAACACATAGAATGGCACCGTGGGTGAAACGGCTGTTCATTAACTTTTTGCCCAAGTTTCTCTTCATAAAAAGACCCACGTATAACTTTGAAACAAGGTAAGTAATTGTAAATAACATTGCCAGTTACCCTTAAATATGTAAATTTAAATACCCAAATGATGAAACATTTGTAAACTTCAAATAATTCAATAACTAAAGCGTTATCTTAAACATATAACTTTTGATATATAATGATTTGGTAAAAATTTTCAGCAAATTGCTTTTGAAGGACGCTCACGCATGTTTTTACCCGTATTACTCTTCGACTAATATTGATCGCCTAGTGAATTCGGGCTATAGCCACACAGCCTCCAAGGAAGAATTAACAACACAGAGGTAATTTAGAGTCAATGCTACTGAAAATAAGTTTCTTATAAAATTGGCGCTTTATATATATATTTATTATAGTCAAACTTAAACATTTTTCAGTTTTCTGAAAAACTTGATTGATAAAAAAACCTTTTTTTATGAAATGAAATTGTTTCTTCAATTATACGTTTAAAGATATTCAACTATTTTGTTTAAAATTAAATTATTTTGTAATAAATTTTAATTAAAAATGTATAGTTTAACAAGCACGGGACCTTTTGGAGGAAGCTGCCAAGTTCATGGACCATTGCCACAACTTACGCACTCGAGCTCAGATGATTTAACTGCCGTCCCTGATTTAGATACTGGAAATTCTGGAATTAAAAGTCCAATATTGAACAATCCAGCCTTTTCTCACTCCAAATGCCCACCTCGCGTGCATCGTAGTTGTTTTTGTGTACGTTTTATAGCGGAGCATACCAAAATGCAAGAGGATTCCACTAAAGTAAGCAATCAAGTACAATATATTAATCGTTGCTAACTATTTTGTTTATATTTGAATGGAAGGTTAAAGAAGACTGGAAGTATGTCGCAATGGTATTGGATAGACTCTTCCTTTGGATATTTACACTGGCAGTTTTGGCGGGCACAGCTGGCATCATATTGCAGGCGCCGACTTTGTATGATGATCGGATTCCCATAATCGAGCAGAAGGACTTGGAGTTTTCAGGAACTTCGGCCGGACGCTGTAGACCTGCGCAATAACGATTTTATGCCAATACAGTCTAAACCTTAACAGACCATTTTAAATTTGTTTATTTTTGATCTGTTCATTTCTGTTGCTCTCAAACTTTTGTCAACCTGAATCGAAAAATCATATATATTCGTTCCACTTAGTTGATCAATAGAAACCCTATTCTGAAATCTCTGTATCGCTATATCAACGAAAATAAACTTTAACGTTAACATTATTTTTAAGTTATGATCGAAAATATTAGTCTGAAACATAAGGAAAATTTAGCACGGCTATATTAGTAGAAAAACGGTACTGTTAAAGCTATTTAATATTCAAATCGTATTACAAATTATAAAAGTGTAGACTTATTCATTATTTCTGCTGTTATTTGTTCTTTTATGTTATATCTTTTCAGTTAATTTTATTTAACCCATTTTCGGATGCCAAAATAGGTTTTGAGCAAATGTTTTCAACACGCAAGCGGAGGCATATTTGTTTTTAAGTATTCATTTATCTATTTGTCTGACAACTCCGATATCAATATCGACATTTTACAAGTATTTTCTTCATATGATAAAGAGGAACTAAGAATTTAAAGGGAAACTATGGGACAGGTTAAATTTTTGCTTATAAGGATTTTGCTGGATAAGGCCGAAATTATCGTCATTCTATTCCACTTCAATAAAATATGGTTTTGATTTATTTTGACAATACTTTGCTTAAAAATAAAAGTAAATTGATCAAAATATTTATTTCAATTTGGTGTCGGGATATGCCTCCGCATGCAGATGCTTAACATATAAAATACCAATTAGTATTTTGACGACATACAGGTCAATTGCCAAATTATGTTAGTTATGATTTCTAAAAGCTATATATGTGTATATATACACATACCATACATATATCATTCACGAGTTTTTGCAAGCACTTAAGACGTGTTTATAAACCCTGTAGGCACAAAATTATAATTTATACTTAGAATTCATATGCATGTGTATATGCATATGCACCTACACATTTCCAACACGATATAAGCCAAATTGATTTATATAGTAGAAGGATATGACGATTCGTAACTGATTCTGTTCAAACTTCACAGCAAACTGTAGCCAGGGCGCCATTTAAACTACACTACATTTCATTTTGTGAAGAATTCAAGCGTGTTGTATACTTTACATTAGCATACAAAATGTGAAATAGAAAGTTAACATTACAATTAATAAGACATAAAGTTAGTTTAAAGTATTTGTTACTTAATAAAGTTGAAATTTAAAATTATTAAAATTACTCTGACTTCTTTTTATTTATGGAAATAAGGCATGTTAACTCTGTTCTAATTATTTTCGTTCGATGTCGTTCGATATCTTAGCTTAAAAATTGTGAGTAAACATCCTTAACCTACAACGGACAAGGGGATACAGTACATAACAGCAACCAGCTATAATGACATCAAGCTGGAAGTTCATACCTGATGATAAGCTTTTGGGATCCAAATTGGAAGGCCGAAGCTATGGTTAAGCAGGAATCCACCTTCATTAAAAGAAGCTACAAAATCAAGTGGCTTATAAAAAATTTGTAATTTGAGTATATGTAAATATACAGTTCTCTGTATCTCCAGTATCATAAGAGTATATGGAAAACTATATATACTTCGTAGGGCGTGGCAAATTAAAAAATATTTAATTTCCCCCTTCTCAACAGATAAACCATTATATGTAATGATTAACCTTTGGGGTGTGGCAAATTGGAATTCACTATATCTTCAATAGCTTTAAAGAGGGAGTCAATATTAACTGAAGTGAGACAAGCCAGTTAAGCTGTCTATTACAAAGTTGCAATGACTCTTTTAATATGTATTATAAATTGATTCATATATGTTAATATTTATGTAAATATTTATTCATATTCATATATGTTATTATTTATTATATATAAATATATATACATATATTATCTAAATGTTTATGCAAATGCATATTCGTATATACAGCAGTAGTGAGCTATTCTTTTGAAGCTTTCATTACATATATACATATATACACATATACATTATATATTTAAAATTTCCGAAATTTATATGCAACTTCTATACATTATATTTTACATGTGTGCTAATTCTAACACGGAAGGATCACTTTTGAATTGGCTTACAATTGTAATCAGCAATATCAAAAACGTAACTCATTTCCAATATCATGCAATTTTTTAATTTGTAAAAAAAACTATCACCAACAAAATATTAGAATTAAATGGGAACTCGCATTGTATACACATATTTGACATACATATGCGTCCAAATTCTTTTTACAGCTCATATTTGTTTTATTTTCATTAATTTTCGTCTTATGAACAACTATCTTTCATTTTCTCGGCTTTTATCTTACCTTTTTTATTATAAAATAAAAGATTTATTTAAAAACTTTTGAGGAGGCCTTTTCCATATATTTTTTAGATATTAATACGTACACATACAAATATAATCAACATATACATATTTATAACTACATACATTGCAGTTTTTATAGAGCAGAACAAGTGATTAAATGATCAGCGACAAAAAAAGAGTTGACGTGCTCTCGTTAAGAGTGCTCGACTAGCGGATTACCCTGTCTTCTACTTAACAATGGAATGCAGCTTTACTCTGTTGCTGTAAGAGATATATTTGCAGATTACTGGGCTTAAAAACTAAAAAACTTTAACTATTTAGTTTTTGTTGCTGTTGAAAAAATGAAAATTCTTTTGATAAGTTTTAATAAGAGAAGCTTTCTTGTACCTGCAGCATTAAGTTATTATAACAGTAGCTATACCCGCTTTATACATGGAATACATATACTGGGTATTAAAAACTGGAAAATGCAAGACATAATTACGGTTTACGCTTCTTAGTGTCAGTACGTTGCTGAATTTCTACCAGTTTCTATCAGTGCAAAAATGACTTCTTTTAGAAAAAGTGACTCAAGTGAAGGAATAATGTCAATTTTGTGGATATACGTTGCATTGGAATGTTGCGTGGCCACTATGAATCTGTCGTGGGTTCATGCTTACGACGGGATTGAGTTTAGTATAAATGATATCATGAACACCCAAATGATGCCTTTTCACATATTTCTTTACGAGCTCAACCCAACTATAAGGAGAAACTATACAACTGACTTTACACCGGCCTTAGCTACGATGAACTATCACAGGTTAGCAATTATCACGATCAACCTTCGATCTAAATATTGAACATTAATAAGAACAATTTTTATTTTAGAAAAATGATGCAGCAGTTCATGGCTTCTGATTACCTTACGAAGCAAATATTGCACTTAAACGCAGGCAGATATGCACAAAAAATAAAAAGACGCGTCGGTGAATTTCAAAATAAATCTAATTTATTCAATGACGATAATCATACGTACCTGTTCGACGACGGTTCTACCAGATATAATACTTGGCTAAGGTATGACAAAAAGTTACAGTCCAAATATTTTTTTATTATTTTATTTATGTGACATTTTCTTTGTAGGACAACAACACTTGACGATATCCAACATCAGTTGAATCATGCTGCAAGCAATTTAAAAAACATCGAGAGTCCAATTCGAAGACAAATAATAAGCCCAGTTACGAAATCTACTTTGGTGGCCTATGAGGCGGAAGAAGATATCGATTCTGGCGATATTACTGGCTACGCATACGACAATTCGCACAATGACAGCCAATATTTCAATGCAAGTCCAGCTAAACAATTTTTCAAAATTTTCAAATTAGCTATCTTATTAACTAATCATTTTTACCCTGTTTAAAAGTGGTGCATTTTTATTTTGTGTGCTATGTGGACCAATCAAGATGTTCCTGTATGGAAAACAATGTATTCAACAAGAATTTTTAACGATAAGTTTATTGTTATGGATTAAAATCAAGTTACAAATTCATTGCAACAATAGAATTGAGAACAGCCCTTTCAGAAAATTAGCTTGAAGTCGGCTCAGCATTGCCATAAAATTAATGGAATTTTTCACATTTGATGTATTATTTAAGGCACGACATTTTCAACGCCTAATTGTGAGGTAGTAAATACTGCAGTACGCTTTGACTATGCTATTATATTTAATGCTTGGTTTTAAGCTTTGAAAAAATCAGGATAGATTCGACTTTAAAATATCCCAATGAAATCAACCGAATTCACAGAAATTCATCAGTTAGTTCCATATTACATAAATTTAAAAAACTATTATTTAAATAGTTTCACTTTATTCTACCAATTCCAGACAAATATAACTGCCCTAAAACATCATCTGCATGCTAGCAGTCACTTTATTAAGTCATCAGTTTCAAAATTTGACTAATCAACTTTGTATGATTAACTTTAGAGTTATTAATTTGTATGTAGAATTTGTTACTCATCTAAGAACAAGTTATTTTATTACCTTTATATAAGTTCGTATATTTTAAGATATGCCATTGACGTCAGCCAGCTGTTGGCCATTTGGCTATAATAAATAATATGTGATAACTATAAAAACTAGGATACCATAAGTATCATTTGAGTTTAATCGACATATTAAATTTTTAAAACTTTGCTTTCTGTAATTTTAATTTATTTCTATAGCCGAATCTCCTTAGAGTATCGCAGATGCCACGATTATTAACAAAAGGACCAAAGACTAGTGCTCAAGTTAAACAAATTAACAAAAGTGGTAAGACTTTCAGAAAAATACAGATATTATTTGAAGATATTTAACAGAATAAAATACTTGAAGGTTATGACACAGCTTTCGAAGACTATGGAATACATCACCCTCCACCGGAATCAGCAAATGCCATGTCACAGCCAACAAAGCAAATTAAGGAAATCAGTCTTAAAGATATTACAGACATCGCTTTAACGACGCTAGCATTTTTATCTTTTGGGATGTTCATACTGCAGGTTCTGATGTGCATAACTATGGTAAGGATACTCCTTACGTGTTCTCTTCAATCTTAAACTATCAAATTTTTAATCAACAATTATTTAATTTATATTTTGAAATTTAATATTGATTACACTATGTACGGTTATTCTTAACTTAATTGCAGAGTAAAGAAGATAGTAATAATTTAATGATGCTACCTATGGAAGCTACCGAGTCAGTTGAAACAAATGATGGGACTGAAGAAATACGGCGAAGAAAACGATCTGTTCCGCAGAGTTCACCAATATTAGTGGGGGTATGTATCATAATAAACAAATTTGAATTTTAAAAGGGGAGAAAAAACACTTTCTAACAATATCTGCTGCCTGCATATAAATTATAATATTTATTTATAGTCAATAAACAAATTAATTCGCTTCTAGATTTTATTGTGCTCTTGATTTCCCGTCTTACGAAAATGCTATTAGTAATTTAAATTATTATGAAAAGGAGTATGCTAACTGCAAATATTAAAACATATTTATATTTTGTGCTTACAGGCAAATCAACTGACTCAAACTTTATTGACTACAATCGATAATTTATACTTAAGTGACAACAAAAATGTCAATATGAAGTATTATTTTCAACTTTTATGCGGATATGGTGCTAACAACACGAAATTGAGAAAAATACAAAAAATATGGACTATACTTTATAGGTTTGTTGACTTATCAATATTGTATTAAATTATATGAGCACCTTGAGAAAAAGGTAAAGCAAATGAGCACGTTACAGCCAAGTGCAGCCATCTACATATGCCATATTATATTTTTACTTCATCGTCATATCTTTTAGGCATAAAGAGCCAATTATGTCAGACGAAATGGGCGTGTTAAAACATATAAGACTACTCCTAGAGAAGTAGGGTTATAAAGCAAAGCTCTCGTAATTTGATTCAATTTTGTGAGGATGTCAGCTGAACAATAGTAACACCTTTCCACGAGATAACGCTCAGAAAAACTAGAAAAACTTTCTTTGCTATTCCGAAAAAGTTCAGCTCGCCAGACACAGTGAAATATATTTTTAATTTCAAATATCTGGGACTTTATAAAGTTTCCCTTTCCTGGAGTAATCAGATCTTAAGCCACATTATTGATTTACGGTATTACCAGTCTTGCTATCGAGAGTTTCAGATTTAACGGACTATTGGTGCCGGGCTCCAGTATCGTTAAGAAATAATGCTAAAACCAATAGACCTTTTCCTGAAGACATCATATCATATTAACCATAAAGCATGACCGAAGAAGATGGCTGTAGTCGAACTAAAAAATCGAATTTAATTTCTTTTAAGATATAGTTAGTTATTCTGTAGTAAACAGCTTTTAGTAAATAATTTATAAATATTATTTAAATGACGAGTTTCTAATGTTTATCGTGCATTTTATATCCACAGCTTAGGCACCAGTTGGTTGGCTGCTCGGGCATCAGATGATTATTATTCAATAATCAAACGAGTCGCTCAGGTGTTTGAAGTTTGTACTTAACTAAATCTTGAGGACGATAAAAACAATATTCTTAAAGTAAATTTAAATATTTTTTTATTTCTGTAACACATTATATTTACCATTAAATAAATATCATTCACTATACCTCCTTTTCTTATGCCTAAATAGTAAATAAAGCTGTATATTAATTATGAGCTTTAAAGCACTTTTAAGTACAATAAAAATTTCGTTTATATTAAATAATAACACTTGTTATTTTGTGTATTATATCAATTATTTATTAACCTGAAAATAAAAGAGCGTTTAAAACAATTGCTTTCAATCGCTTCTCTAGAATCTTCATATATAAGTTTTGTTTTAGCCCTTTAATTGACAATTGCAAAATGGAAGCTACATAAATATAAATATAAAAAAAATCGTATATAAGATTCTTAAAATAATAATTCAAGCAAACTCATTTTTAAAATATTGCCAATGTATTTTATTGTGTTTTCTATATATATATATATCTATATATATATACTGCTTTTATACAAACAGAGCGCACAATAAAAGCCGTTTACTGAGGACTTTACGAAGTGGCTGCGTTTGAACTGCGCTTATGGAACTTACTATGGGAAAGTAGCTGTTGAATTCTTCTTGTTATATTTGAACTTAATGATATTTTCAGAGCGTGATAACGACATATTTCTCTATTTGTCTAAACCACGTATCTACTATTTAAAATATGAGTTTTTATTTTAATTTTGAAGAGAAAGCGAAGAGATATTTGAAACATCTGTGTGCTCATCACAAGAACCTATAGAAAAAGTCTCCATCTTGTGGTATTCAGGCTTTGCTTAAAAACTCCCATCAAATTATTAATTATTATCGATAATAAGGATGACTTTTAGAATAATAAGAAATGATAAGCTCGTACTGCACATACAGGAAATTTAATATGTTAAGTCTGTAGATGTTTGAAACTACTACTAATCTACGAATTTTAAATAGGTTATAGGAAGAATTATACATTTAAAAATTTGTACAAGCATATTAGCTGGAGATAGTGCAGGTGGTTAAAAAAAAGCGGCTCGTGGGGCGTTATCTGCCGCCAGCTGACTACAAAGTCGCTGCAATGTTCGAAAAAGTTAAATTTCGAAATGAGATCAATTGAAAAGCACTGCATCCTAGGCACAGTGAAATATATAATCTCGTTTCTCACAAACTATTCTTGTATGTATGAAATCCTAGGAGCAACCGTCCTATTGGAAGAATAAGTTAATTATAATCTTACATGAATTTAAAAAAAATCGAAAATCGGTTGTTTCTTTTCTATATAACTAAGTTTTATTTAAGTTTTATTTGAATTAAAATGGTTTTAGAAAGCATAGTTGGGGATCAGCATAGAACGAGGGATGAAAGCTTGAACAGGCTGATGAATTGGTAGCTGGCGTTGATATCGCTGAAAAATACATGTCACACTTGTACAAGCCATGTCTTTGAGCTATTTTCAGACGAGATGTCAGTTGTTTCTTCCATTTCGTTCTGCGGTTCTGGAACCAGGTTTTAATTTGAACTTCAGTAAGCGACAATGATTTCGAGAGCTCCATACGTTTTGTAACGCTAAGGTATTTGTCCGTCTTGAACTCACTTTCTAAACGATCGAGCTGTTTCGCGCTGTATGCTTGTCGCGGCTTTCTATCAATGCCTTGTTTTCGCAAACGTTTTCCTGCAATAAAACTATTTTAATCATCGAGCTATTGGTTTTGAAATGCGTAAGTACCTTGAACACTTATAAAGTGATGCAAATATGGAGGTATTGAAAGCTTTAGTGGGTATTGCAAATTTGATTGTGATATTTGAAACGATGTTTTAAATGGGTTGAGCAAATTATCTTTTTCAATTATATCCATTCCTTGTAGAACCGGAAAGGACCTGGAAAGCGCATTGTGCGAATTACTCCAATGTTCACCCTTTTCAACTGAAAGTATAAAGAGAATAGATTATATTTTCAGGCGCTACTCGAAATAAAAAAAATTAACTTAAATAAAATTAAATAACGTTAGATTATGTATTAAACAAATTAAGAATCTAAATTACTAATTTTTTTTGGTACTTAATACTTAACTGTCAAAAATTCGATATTTAACTTTAAAACTTTGTCAATTTATCATGCCAACAAAAGACATATATGTATAAAGTTTTTGGCCAACTAATAGAGTAGGTCAATAGTAACTTAGTCTTGTATTTTTAGTTAGTAGCTGTGACACTGTACAAGAAACAGTTATTCTTCATTTATTTTATATCGCGCGAGCCTACACAGTAGATTCTTTTCAGCTTTGGTGGTATTCAAGCTACGTTTACGTTCTATAATACGCCCGATATTTTAACTTACGTTTAAGCGTGGAGTATGTAGGTTTCTACGATGAATACAAAGATTTTGAATATTTCTACTTTGAATACGTCATACCCAAACACTTAAAAAGCAAACGTATTTTAAATAGTAGAGACTTGTGCTTTGACAAATACATACATTTGGATGCTAATTTTGAGCTCTAAAAGCTTCATTAAGAAACGCCTCGAGAACAAAAGTTATTCAATAATTACTCTACTCTATGGGAGATTAGCATCACCATCAATCCATCTTTTTTTATTGAAGATATATGAATATACCATTAATTTATTCATTAATTGGTGAATAATAATATAGAGAAAATGTGAAAAACAAAACCTCAGATTTTGAATGCGCTCTATAAGCTTTTAAGCAAGGCGACCAACTAAATTTATGCACATTTGTTCACATGTACGTCAATATATAGCTTCATATATCATCAATTTACACAACCAGCAATAAAAAAGTCTTCAAGGTGGACTGAAAAGTAAAATGAGGCAAGCAGCAAACATTACAATCAACTTCGAATTCTACTTTAAAGCAAGGTCAACATTAAATTAATTTTAATTTGTGGCGACGTTGGTGACTGTGGAGGATCTTATGCTTTCCTATCAAAGTTTATATTTTAATTTATAGCTTACAATTTCATTCGAAATATGTATAGACAAATTTTTACATAGGCCCTTATAAGGTATAAGGTATAAGGTCACAAATCAGCTCAGTCGAGGATAATTTGCATTCATATTGAATGATTAGTTCTTGATGATGTCAATATCAAAATTCATATGAAAATGAATTTTGAAAATTAGATTCATGTATTTTACACAGTCAAAAATTATTATACCAAAATCGTGTACATAACAGTTGTTTCACGCTTATTAAGGGCTTATCGGTCGCATTCACTTAACCAATTTGTCACATTTTGACCCGCTCTATAACCTTAAACATGCGCAATCCTCGTCTTTTTATGAATTCCCACTTTCCATGGATTATGGATCATATAGCGGATGTCTTTGTTTTCTCTGGTTACTTACATTTGGTTGAAGAGATATTTGCATTGTTCACAGCTGGTGTCATATTTTTTAGAGGTGTACTATTTGGTTTCATGCAATAAAGGTGAGCGTCATTGTTGCTACACAAGATATTATCAATACTGAACGGTAGGGATCGACCTGAATTGCGGTTGTTAGGTATTTCTTTGGAACTAACCGAGTCGGCAGTCAAATTTTGTAATTTGCACAACGTATCATTTGGTTCGAAGTCACAATTAGTATTTTCTACCGATCTGGAGTACAAATGCTGCCGATTCATTTTCGACGATTTAAGCCTTACATGATTTGCGCATAACTAAAGCCGAAATATTTATTATTATTTTTCTTTGCATCACAAAACTTAAGCGCTGTCGTGATTTGCCCATCATCACAAACTTTTCTGACTCCGCCCAGGTATTAGCACATTGGCTAACGCCCCACGCCTAGTTCAGCTGAGAACAAGCATCCATAGCTGCAGCTAAATTCGACCAATCATAAAGCAAAGCGTTTTCATTCATCTTCCTGGATTGGGCTTGGCTTGCTTTCAGGCACACAAACACATGCACGTGTATTATGCGGTGCCCATTGACGAGATGTATGGGATGTGTGCGTGTATGAATAGCAGCGGTGTATATATGTACCTAGCTGTATCGATTCTTGGCCACAAATGATATCGTTAACATTTCGACTGCTTTTTATTGCTTTTTAAATTAAAGATGTGTTAACGATTTACTACTCTTTGACAAACAATTTGGACGTGCCACTTCATTTATGTAAGTGCGAGAGTGTGAGAAACCAGAGTATCTGAGGAAATCACACCAACCTACTACACATATACATGTGCATGTGTCCACACATACGTTGGCTACGGTTGACTGTTAGCATGACGGTCTCCCAATTTCATGCGTTCTTTTTTGTAGGATTTGGCAATTAGGTGTGAAAATACACTAACATACATATCACAAGTAAGAGCTATCGAGATTCCCTGCCGACTACCAGATACTCTGTAAGCCTTATTGTAGGCTATGCACCAATTATCATAAATGGACCATCTCGTACAGTATAACATGTTACAAACAATCGCGTCACTGATTAATAAATTTATAAGATCCAAAAATAGTATTCATATACATTTCTCTGCAATATATGCATCAATATATCATATGTAATATATGCAGCATATTCACTTCAAATACAGGGTATGCACAGGTTACATACCAAAGGCGCTAAGTGAGTGTATTCATGTATATATATACATGCACTGCCACATACATATGTAAATATTTTATACAAATGTCTATTTGTATGGCTTAACAAGCCGCACCCAATGTGCGTCCAGACCTTAACGACTCAATTTGTGTTAAAGTGTTATTGAATAATGAGTATTACCTGTGCTTACATATGTATAATTAAGTAGACATATGTGCAAGCTATGTATATTTAAGCATGCATACCTGTTTATACCTATATGTCAGACAACTGCTCTTCGAACTACCAAGAAATTTATATGGAGCTCAAGAATTAAGATATTTTTTTTTTTGTAAATTCGAACAGCAAACAATGTCATTAAAGCAATATTAAGCACACAGGTTGCACTATGTCTAATCTCTTACAGTTCAGTTACTGCGGATATTTATATGTGAACTTTGTCTTGTCTCATTTAATAAGGCATTTTGTTGTCTTTTAACAAATGCTTTTCATAGTTAATTGCAAGAGTCGTTATGTATACGCATCTACATTTTATCGAGTAAGTAATGCAATATTACATTCCAGTAGAGTAAACGATCGGCAGCATCTAAAATTACAAAATATTACACATAATTATTGTATTTGTGCAAAGTTATTAAGTTTTTTTTGCCCTAGGGTAGGTAGACGTATAAAACCCACATATCAACTTCAGGTTGCGTGATGTTTTCATTAGTCATGTATTTGAAAGTAAGTAAAATAAATTAATTTCATCTGTTGGTTCACACGCATTTTCTATGGATCCCTTTACGCAATTCAGGGTGGGATATTCATAGTCTCCCTTTCCAATAACTATCCATTTATGTATTGCACTCAATTCGTGTTTATTAACAGATGCATTTGATACGTATGATGACTATAAATTACTTGCGTACAACTGTATTCCTAGCTCTAAGAATCGAGCATTTTTCATATTGTGCACACAATTAAATTTATAGTAATCACAACATTTATCATTCAATAACTTCAGTTTTCTTTTCTTTAAAGGCGTGTGAAATTAACACAGTTTTGGCAACAATTAGCTTTGCATAACTGAACTCATAAATAGATCAAATACACAGAAAAATTAAAGATACAAATTAAAAATTATTGATACAAAGTAAAGTGCATTTTACTGCAGAATATTCGATCAATTTTCCACTACAGCGTAGCCTTGGCGGAACTCTTGCCTAATTCTAGTTGTATAGACTGAACAATAAATTATTTGGAGTGCAGATATATAGCATAATCTTACAAATGTTATATAAACGAGTATGTCTTGTAGCTGCCCTTGCGCTGAGACAGATGAAAAGAAAGAGATTAATCAAAATCAAGATCCTCCTTTCACTTCCTAAGCAAGTTCAAAGTCATCTTTAAATGGAATCTGCATGGAATATTTTATGTTATTCACAAAAAGTGTGATATAATTGGAGGTAAACCAAATAAATGATAAATAGTATGATTGAGAGCATTAAAAACAAGTCGAAGTTGTCTAGGCGAATGTGCCCGACTAAAAGATACCCTCAGTCCTGAACGTGTCTTTTAACTTCTTTCTCTTTACATTGATATACACATTCTTACAGACTCACTTATATGAAGCTTTAAATAATCATGCTGTTTACTGTCTGATTTTATATCAATGTCTAAGTCTTTTTAAATATAAATAAAAATAAAGAGCTTGTTTACCATTTAATTCAAATCTAGAAATATTTGTCATACAACTGAATTGTTAGATGGATTTGCTTAAATTCGAAATAGTTCGAAAATTGGATAATTAATTTCTTAAATATTTATCCATCAATTTGCTAAAAGTCGAATACTTGTCGTGGAAGCAAGCCCACTAAATACCCCTAAAAATTAAGTCGAAAATGTTGAACTCGTGCAACATATCTCCCAAAAATGATTGTTACTAAATCAACAATTTAAGTCTCTAATTTGAGGCAGTGCGTAAAGAACAGTCGACTGAAACCGACTGAAACGTTCTCCTCTAATTAGCACCTAGTTTTCGATTAGTAGCCAAGAAATTGTGTGTTACCAATAATAACCGATTGTAGTAATCCAAATACCAAAAAAATAATCATAACTGAAAATTTAAACAAGAAAGAGTGCTCTAGTCGAGACTGCTCGACTAGAAGATACCCTGAGCTCTGCGAATTTGTTTTAAAGCCAAATATATATGTATATATATATATATATATATATATTACAAGACACCCTAGGAAATTAGATGTTTCGATCATTTGCGGTAGTCTTGTAACGCTTAAGAGTCGAAGTCAATTTTCTATCAATAATAGGAAACTGAGATGAGTTATCGTTAAGAATTATAATGATATGGTATACTCAAGCATATATTTCAAATTTCGAGACAGCTGCGTTCACATGGACGGACAGATAGACAAGCTGATTTATATGCCTGTAGCATAGATATAACTAATATACCCTGAATTTCCATTTTTACTGCGTTAAGTGTATAAAAACACCTCCCTCTCTCTCTCTCTCTCTCTCTCTCTCTCTCTCGTTTTTTATTTGTATACCCTCGCAAAAGCTTTTAGAATTTTGTTTTGATTAATGATAAATAATATAATAATATTTTTGATGAGCATACTAGCCATCTGTCACGTCTGCTTGCCTTCCTGCGCTGAGTAGTTTCTAAGCTCCTTATATTCGGAAGTTTTTTAGGCACAACCAACGTTGGAACGTATTATTTCTTAGCACTATTGATTTATGTACATATATTTATGTGGATCATTTTGTATAACTTGATTGTTGACACTCTCTTCTGGTCAAACACAAATTACGGACCTGCTCTATAGATAGAGCTATTAATTACACGGAGAATCAGAACCGTTTGAAGTCAGAAAATGTATTTGCCTGTGAAACTGAGAGCTTGAACTTTTTTAAGGGCTTATGCTAAATACAAGCTGTGGAATATATTAACACGCAGATAGAACAGGGCTCAGAGTATTTTCTAGTAAAGAACACTCCTCTAGGAGTTTCTTGTTTAATTTGTACTGATTGGTTTGTTATATTTTATTTATTCACGCATACATATGTATATATTAGTTATACTTAGAAACGAACAGCTAAAATAAAACAAACTATGGCTTGTCCCCATCTTAATTTGTATATAAAACACAAGATAAAGACTTTTAGCCAATTTTAATATTGTGATCATTATAAGCATTTTTTTGGACACATGTAATGAGATGAGACTCAATAAATAAACTCTAAAGTGAATTGACGCCATAAGAATTTTCTTGTAAGAAGAGGAATGAACCCCTAGATTAGGAATCCAGGACTCGAAGAACCAACATCTCCTACGCATCGCACGTCCCATCAACCAACACCGCCACTTCACTGTTTGAGCGATAATTTGCAAATCTATAATAAAGTAGCAGCTGGCAAAACACAATTGAATCGCAACTTTTATGCTTCGAAAAGACAAGAATCCACATTTTAATTATGTATGAGTGCAGAAAAATACAAAAGTTTGGCGCTGCTAGCCACGTGCTTCTGCAAACTGGTTGAATAACTTCTGTGTTCGGGATATTCTAAATATCCAAATATTTAATAATAAAAATGCAAACTCTTTCACACATTGGCTTTGCTTGGCAACTGAGCTTAAGTTTAAAGAATTTATAAAAATTTGGAGCCGATATGAAAAATATAATAAAAATCAAAATTGTATAAAATGTAAAATAAAATATAATATAATAATAATATATATAAACACATAATAATATATATAAACACAAAATTTTGCAGACTAGCTGTAAAGCAGTGTAAGCTATAATTTAATAACCAAATAACGGGCAGCGTCTATCTAGAACAATATAATGCATATAGTGCAGAGTAAGCGCTATCTTCAAGTCGGGCAAATTTATTTTTTAATATATTTTATGATCAAACACTCAATCCAGAAGGCTATATTGTATTTGTTTGTATGCCTATGTACATGTTATTATTCTTTTGTTTTTTAGTTTGTACGCATACTTTTTCTAACTGAATTTTTGTTGTTTTTTTCTTATTTTAAATATAAAAAAAAACTGTTTAATATTATAAAAAAAAATTGTTGATAAATGTGTGTTATTAAAGTGTTTTCCATTAAAAAATATAATATTGATAATTATACTATTATTTATCACATTTATTCTCTATCAAAGTCGCTCGTTAGGCCTGTACGCATAGTTTTTCTGGCAAGTGTATGTGTATTTGTCAGTTCTCTTAGGAATGTAAGAAGTTTTAACTGTTTAAATGGTACACATATATATGAATGTAAGTAGATATGTTTTAAATACATAAATGATCTTAACGTGTGTTAGTCTGTATAAAAAATACGACTAACATTACCTTACCATGCAATAACTATAAATTTTATATTTAAATCGCATTTCTACTGCTTTTTTCCAGAGCGAGAGTTTTGCAATGTTCCAATTGGTTTTCAGCAGGAAAAACACTGAACAGAAATATAATACATTGATAATTTTAATATCAAAAGACATTCTCACAAAGCAAAGCCAGTTTTATGCACATTAAAAGTCCCATAGCATACTTTATGTAGAAGTAACATTTCTTTGACCCCAAATACTTTTTACAAACTAAACTAAAATGTTTTTCATTTAATTGGGCGACAAGAGTTTCACATAAAGAGACACACAAATGCTGATACATGGGAGGACTCCACCGTGAGTGTGCGTATGCTCATCGCGAAAAAGCATTCCTGTTTCGCATCAACGCTTTTATACCCTTCCCAGAAATAATTATAAAAAATTTGAGATTTTGAGAAGAGAAGAAATTCTGAACAAACTTAAAGTTTTGTGCAGTGCTGCTTGTGGGTACATGCAAATATATATACATATATATAATAAATATATGTATATTTGAGAGACCAGAATATTGTGCATAATGGGATCGACCATTTTAGCACTGATATTTAGTACCCAAGTCTTTGTTCAACGAACCTTTATGTTAGGCACCCAGCAAATAAAAGCGGATATTCTAGATTTCCCATATATGTGTTGTATATTTAACATTTCAAGTCTGTATTTTTAGCAATCAGATGAACCATAAGTATTTATCTGTATAGACTCAGCTCGTCTTCATCATCAAGAAAATATGTATGTAGTATATACTTTACGTGGTCTGCCACGCCTTCTTCGACGTTTGATGCCCATTCATTCCTAGATGTTCTGGATGTTAAAGGGTCTCACATGTACGTTTCTCATATTTTAAAATATCTTCAATACTCGTCAAAACTTACAAGTTTAATGCTCGGACTAAGCACTTCAATATTCTACATAACAAATTTTATATTATATTATATAATCATGGTTTCTGAATTCTTTTAAATTTCCAATCCGTCGAATGAAAAATATTTTTTTATTATTTATTATATAGGATTGGCAAATTTATAACGACAATTTAAAATTTATATTATTGTTTTATCTTTTTATTCACAAGATTTAATTTACTGTTGCTTGACATTAACAAGAATATTAATTATGAAATCCTAACAATTACAATGTAATTAAACTCTAATAACCTAATAGCTTACTCAATGCAGATAACCATTATATTTTTGTTAATATGCAAGGTATATCATAGTCGTACTTTTTGTATGTTGGGAAACGAAACTAAGAAAGAACAGATGTTTCAGATGAATACCCTTCTGAGGCAGTGTACACATATACATATAATCAACATTTAGTTAACATAAGTTCTGACTTTAAAGTGCAATAGATGATTACATAGAAGAAGCTTATGCGCCGGCTTGTAAAATTTCTACAGTAAGTTTCAAACTAAGGAAACACTTTACCATATAGTAACGAGATCGCTTTTAATATGTTTCATTGTCGCAGATGTCTGCTTCTGTACGTTACACACTTTGTGACAAAATTAGAATACATTCTGCAAGGGTAAGAAAAAAATGTAACCAAAGCCAACGCATGCTCGATGAAATTCAATGGAATCGCTCGTACCCGCTACGAAATGGGTTTCTTCCAATCGGGTGCTCGGTAGCTTATTCGTAAAATCCGAATTTATTTACACTTTGAATGCCAAGTTCGGCGAATGTTGTTCACTTATTGCGAAGCCATAGACATTTTTAGTTCAGCAATATTTAACCATAGTATTTGGCTAGGTTGCATCTCAAGCCGAATTTTGAATAAAAAATCAATCAATACGTCGCAATGGAAAAATTACATGAATATCAAGGAATAACCGGCCGACTCCACCAATTGAGAGATAATATTAAAGAGAAATATTCCTCCATAAACCAGGAAAACTCACCCAACATTTTTGAAAAAGCTAAAACTACTGCTTTGGATCAACTGAAAGGCAATGCAAGTGCTAACGTGGACTACTCCCATATTTATAGGTAAGAGTTCTCTCAAAATCTACTTGCTTTACTTACGTGCATATATACAATAAAATTGGCTACCGCGGTTTATGTAAGACATTTATTTGTGGTTTTCTTCCAATAAATTGATACATGATAAATTGGACAAACATTTTATTTTATTCATCATTTTAGACATTGAAATCATTTTAAAGATCCATTCCAAGATTAAATATACTTTTTTATTATGTCATAAATAGAAAATAAAATAAATTTAACTTATGTTTCAAACTGACAACAATACATACTGAAAAATTCGCATACTCGTGAAAGCACACTCACATTGCAAATGTTAGATGTGTTTGCTTTGCCTCAACCCTGCTCTATGAGTTCTTGAATCGATAATGGAAAACAAGCTATGAACATGCTGTAAAGAACGTATTCCAAATCAAGTCCACTGTTCTTAAGGCCCTATTCTTCATGTGGATGTTCGGAAGAAAGCAGGACGACAATGTAAAGATCCACTTAACCCTGACACACTTTGATACAGTCTAGTTATACTAATGTTAATGTTAGTAAACTATTCTGCTACTTAGTAGAAAACTAATACAGGGTATTAAGGCACATTTGCAGACCTTATTTTATTTGCTTTACTTACCTTTAAATCAGATTTATTATCAAGCAAAAAGGAGAGGCAAATATGATTTTTTTTCTCCTCGGCTGAAATCGAAACTTATACAAATGATAAATAGAGGCTTTAAATTTAATGCCCGTCTAGAAGATATTCTAAGTTTAGTCGCACCCAACCATTTGCACGTAATGTACACACTATTAAAAATTATATAACAAATTGGCTAAAATATCATCTAATATATGTATATAAATATATATATATATATAAATAAATTTAAATTTCCTTTAATACCTTTTACCTTTTATACAATTTTCAAATTTTTTAAATCATGCAAAATGCCATAATTTCAATTTTAAATAATTCAGATATCTTTAATAAATTCAAATCCTTAAATCCCACGCATATACGAAATATAGTATTATATTAGTTAAATATAGCTATATAGACATTTCGTATCTGTTTAATAAAAATTCAGCTCAACAGCTTATATTTTTATTTTAAAAGTATGACGTTAGTAAAAATCGATTTATATTTTTGAAAGTCGAACTTTATTAAAGCTTAATTATCTTTACTGGAATATATACAAATAATTTAAAGGCCAGAAATAAAATATTAGCTGTGTCCCATATTTGTACCTGCTTTAGTTATGAATTCAACTCGCTCCTAAGCACACATTTATAATAGTCAGAAGAAGTAAAAATCATTCTGCATAATGCTTGTTCACTATTCGCAATGTATTCAAATCTTTAATTTTGATATATATTAAACTGTAAACTATGGCTCACAGCGACAGCGTCGGACTCCAGCACAGCCGCCCCGATTTGCCAAATAGTCGTAGTACTTCACAATCCGGTGATAAATTATCCATTACGATATGATATATTGCAAACTTATTGAGGCGCACTGCTTTGTGTTCATACAAATAGCTGGACGGACATTGCACAAAGCCGTGCACGTTGTTAGCGAGTATGAAGAGTGAGAGTGACTGAAATACCAACATAGACCATATATTGTTGTGAATTTAATTAGCAATTTTATGATATTATTTATTATGTAAATTATTTTTATTTAAATCTCCCAATCAATCATTCCAATTCACTCAAAATTTTATCCATTTGATAGTTATTCCGAATCGACAGTTAATTTTCAAGAGAGAAGAACACGACGCACAGTTGCTGTCGAACCTTGTAACTAGTTCAGTGAATGGTAGAGTTTGTGTGTATGCACTTTATGTACATGCACATATTTGCGTGTGTCTAAAGTCACCACATGAAACCCAATAAGTGTTTAGCAGCTACACTTACAAGCTTAAGGTCTACACATTTATTTATTTATGGTACTAGGAGCAATGCTAACCATCGCTATTTGATAAGTATTCGACACAGCTAAAGTCTGATTTCTGATTGCCTCCTTGAGGGGAGATTAGCACAAAAACCCTATCTAAAGAAAGCCACAGGCAATCCATCTTCAGTTTTGAAAACTCAGCTGTGCCAAATACTGACCAAAACTAATGTAGAGTATAATTACGAGTGCCATCCAGATATTGCTGTAAAAAAAAAAAAAATATATATATATATATATAATATATATATATACATATATATACATATATATATATATATACATTTGCATTTGCTTTTGGATCACAATTTACATGGAATATTATTAAGCAAATTTTTTAGAATTATTAGTAAATTGCTTCTTATTAGAAACACTGAAAATAAAATTGAAATTGAGGCAATTTACTTTACAATAAAAGTGAATTTGCTAATAATATTCCATCTAAATTGTGATCCAAAAGCAAATGCAAATGCAAATACATGTTTGCACCATATATTTGGCAGCTAAAAAGCTTTGTCTCTACTGATTTTATTGCTCACGCAATAAAAGGACTTAGACTAATTTGATTCAAGCCCTTCTAAAATTCCTTATTTATTGAAAAGGGTAAATCCAATAACAATAGTTTCATGCTGAGCTAAAGCCGGCAAAGCACAGTAAATGGATTTTATTTATTTTTCTTTTCATTGTCAGATACAAAACCCGTGCGGAACTTGTGCGAGTCTCTGCAGCAGTGATGGGCATTGAGTTTTCATATGCAGCGGAAACAGCTTTCGTGTCGCCAACATTACTTAAAATTGGCGTGGAGCATCAGCACATGACTTTGGTGTGGGCTCTCTCACCTCTGGTTGGATTTTTTCTGTGCCCTATTTTGGGGTCATTTTCAGATCGCTGCAAGTTAAATATGGGACGACGGCGACCATTCATAATTATATTGTCTATTGGGGTTTTTCTGGGTAATTCAACTTTTACATAATTGAATTGAAATATCAGATTTTAACGTCCAGTCCTTATGTAGGTTTGATCTTGGTGCCAAATGGGGAAAACTTAGGATATTGGTTCGGTGACATCGATCCACACTTGCAGGCTGCTGCCATGAATACTACGTATAATACGACGTATAACTATTTAAATATTATGCCTCATAGAGCGACTGCGTCAAAGTCGGAAAGTGAAACATATGTTAAGACATCACATCCTTGGGGAATTTTTTTTACTGTTCTGGGTACTGTACTACTTGACTTTGATGCGGACGCCTGTCAAAGTCCATCGAGAGCATACCTCTTGGACGTATGTATTCCAGAAGATCATGCGAAGGGACTGTCAACATTTACAATAATGGCTGGCCTAGGAGGCTTCTTTGGCTACTCAATGGGTGGCTTAAACTGGGATGAAACAGAAATTGGTGAGCTCATGATGCTAACGCAATGACAAAAGCTAACCTAAAGTATACAGGTAGACGCTTGGGAGGACATGTGAAGGCTGTTTTCACGATAATTACATTTATTTTCATCGCCTGTGTATCATTCACAATAACCAGCTTTACTGAAATCCCGCTTTGGGCACTTTCTACATCTTTGCGACAAAAGGAAAAATGTCAGGCAGACAACGCATCTGTAAATTACGGCACTATTAATAACGACGACGACTGCAAAAGTGATAAGAATTACGTAGAGGTGAGTACATGCCATTCATTTTGGTAAAATAACAGACATTTTCAAGAATAATTAAATATAGTTTTTTGTACTAATAAAAGTATAATTTTTCCAAAAGCTGACACCACCGATGCCATCAGAAAACTTTGGCGACGTCAAAGATAACTTTGGCGAAACTTCTTTCACTGAAAACCCGGAGACCTTGATGCAGGCCACGAATGAAGTAGAGGGAGATATTTCGCTGTCGCAAAATAACGTGGAAATACAATCCTTATCGCATTATTTGCTTTCTATTGTTTACATGCCGTATTCCCTGCGTATAGTTTGTCTGACAAATCTCTTCTGCTGGATGGCACACGTGTGCTACTCACTTTATTTTACTGATTTTGTCGGGGAAGCTGTCTTTAACGGCGATCCAAGAGCAATAGAGGGCTCAATCCCACAAAGGAGATATGAAGAGGGCGTTCGATTCGGATGTTGGGGTATGGCGATGTATTCCCTTTCCTGTGCCTGTTACTCTCTTGTAATTGATAAGCTCATTCAACGATTCAGGTAAAGTTTTTAAATAACTAATATAAGTTTTTAAATAACGTAGACTTGGTTCATATTATTTTATTTGTTGAAATTTAGTAACAAACAAGTAGACCAACATTTTTTGACGTGCAGAAACCGAATCTTGAGTACCGCTATCAAGTGCAAGGAGAATATTTAGCAGACGAATGAGTTTTGCATGAAATTTAAAAAGGGGTTTACTGGGAAGTAGTAGTATAATCCGATACCGTGACTACCGCGAAAAACATTACCCTGCATTTTTAGATCAAAATATCTTGAAAACGTGACGTGGTTCTCGTCTCAAGTCGGATTACTAAATTCTATTTGTTCTACGTATGTTGAGAACGATTTAATATTTGTGACATTTTAATTTGTGTTGATGTTGACCAACTAAATAAATATATAGAATTTAATTTAAAACAATTATTTTTCTTCAAGGGCAAAAACTGTTTATGTTGGAGGACTTCTCTTCTATTGTACTGGGATGACATTAATGGCACTTTCTCGCGCTAAGTTTAGTGTGATCGTTTTTAGTTGGACGGCAGGTGTCATGTACTCGACTCTTTTCACAATGCCTTACTTGCTTGTGGCGCACTATCATTCCATGGGCACAGTAAGTAAGAAAATATATAATAAGTTACTTGGAGATGTCCCACTAGCATATACCCAAAGATTTTTGCTATATTTAGCAAACTCTTAGAAATTCTAATTTAGCTATGTTAAATATCAAGTCTTAAAATAGAATAAAAAATATATATATTTATATGTATATATATATTTTATACCCTGCATTCCCGTTTTGTATTTGGAGTACACAAAACCTCTTATAACTGAGCACTTTCGAGCAGTGTTAGCCGTGAAATAAATACAAAACTATCTATTGCAGTTTGAAGTGGATGGAAGTGGCACCGCCAAACTGGAATCTGGAGTGCGGGGATTGGGTACAGATGTTGCTATCGTGAGCAGTATGGTTTTTTTAGCTCAATTTATTCTATCAATGTGCATGGGCGTAATTGTCAAAGTAACTGGAACGACTACAGCTGTAATAAGTACCGCCAGCTTTTTGAGTTTCTGTGGTGCTCTGTCTGCCACAAAAATAATTTACCTGGATCTATAATTTGTTATACAAATATATAATATTATTAATAAATGTTAAAGCTTCAATACAATAATATACAACAAAAAAATATTGTGTTATTAAATGCATTCGTATTTCATATTTTTATTAGAACTTTCTTCACTGACATTACTATATACTAAACAAAAAGCAATAAATAAAAGCTTTGATCTCTCTTTAATGAATTATGCATGAATGCAAGTATGTAACCAATATAAGACATTTAAACATATATATGTAATCAAAAAAAAGCTATTTACTGATTGCATAGAATTATTTATAGAGTGATCCAGACTCTAGTTGTGTGTGCATTGTTTTTAGCTGAAAAGCATGCGACAGTATGCGTTGACACTTTCTCATTATGATTCTAGTAGTAGCTTTTCAAATTTACGTCTTCAATGGACAAAGCCTTAGCTCTTTTATGTAGTCACAAGGCCGAAATATTACTTTGCGATCATGCACCAATCCTATATTCTCGAGCATAAAAAGTATTTAAAAATTTCCATAAAACGATAAGTGCATCAATTCTTTAATCGATTCCTTAAAAAAGTATTCATATATTAGTATCTGAACAAATGTGCGCAGTGGAGACATCGCATTACTTGACTTTCATGAAAATTAATATTTTCTCATATTTGTTTTCGGCATAGTTGTCTTAGGCATAAAAATCAGAATAGAAGCATAGTTCAGAGCTGGGAAATATTTGTTACCCTTTTCCAAATTTTTCTCAGTATTTGTGTATGCTGTAAGAAATAGATTGGGGTATTGTCATCATATAGTATATGAGATGTTTACCTTTTTAAGATTTTTGAGTAGCCATATAACGAAGTTTCGGCTAAATATATCTCCAAAATCTAATATATTTCTTACCGGTATAGCGTTGGTCAGAGGTCGAAACTTTACAAATTTGAGCAGAGCAACGATGTTGCAGAGCCCTAAAATAGCAAGCCAGTCTAGGTGTATGGCCTCAGTTATAATAGTAAAACACGATCATAAGAAGTTTTTCATTGAGGTGGATGGTTTGATTGCCTTTTTGAAGTATGATAATAACAACGGAGTTATGCATATAACCCATACAAGAGTACCTACAAAATTAAATGGACATGGGATTGGGAAGATATTGTCTAAGGTATTTATATACCCTAGTCATTTGCCTTTCTTAACCCGTTGCTACGCAAACTAGTTGCTAACAAAAACAAACGAGCAAAAAATTCTTACAAATTATTTAGACCGTTTAAAGTTTTAGTGAAACATACGTATGCCCAAATAAAACAAAATTAAATTAAAATATGTGTTTAACGTAAGAAAATAAAAAATAAATAAAGAAATAAGATACGTAAAATAAAGTATAACTAAAACATATAAAATAATAGCAAAGTGATAACAAATTTACAAATTAAAATTAATAATTAAGTTTAAATGATCCTAATTATTCTTGAAGTAAAAGTAACGTATGTGACTCTTTACAGGCAGCATTGGAGTATGCGATACAACATGATCTGCTAATAAGAATTTCGTGTCCTTTCGTGCAACATTACGTCAACAAATACGAACCTAAATTTCATAAATATATTTTGTAATTTCTCACTCTAAATAAACCTGAACCAGAGCATCAATATGGATTCGAATGACTTTAAGAGCTTAGTCCTGTACTACGGAAGATTGCGTTTCTATAATTCAATGCAGAAAACAGCATTGGATGGACTAGCCAAGTTTCCAATGCAATCCGAGTTTAGATTGTACAATGGCATTGCGCTTGCCTTGGGTAATCATATGCAGGAGTGTATTCGGGAATTGAACCCATTGAAGAATGATTTGGAGTTGGGTTTCGCAGCTACAATGACTCTTATTTACGCCCACAAACAATGTCGTCTAATGGATAACGATGCAATAGACGCACTTGAAAAGCGAATAGAAGAAGGAGGTAATACTCTCAGCTCCGGCTCATGTTATTATACAGCTGTTTTTCTTTTCTTAGTGGGGGAGCTTGATGGAGCATTAGATTATATTGGTAGGTCTATGAAAATAGACGTTAATTACGATGCTGCGCTAGTCCTGAAAATATGGTGTGAGCTATCATCGAGCACAAATCAATCTGCCAATGGAAAATGGCAGAGTATGCTTGAAGGTTGTATTGCTCGCAGCAATGGCAAAAACATTGATGCATCTTTAGCACTTGTGCGATTTTATCAACAGCGGCGACAATTCGATGTTGCTCTATCAGTAATAAATAAGCTCAGCATGCGATTTCCCGACATAAGAATACCTCTTATTGAGAAAATGGAGACACAGCTTGCCGCCCTCGACTGGGACAGTGCGCTAGATACTGCCAATAGAGTTGTCAATATGGAGCCCTTCAATGTGGCGGCTCTGCGCACTAAGGGCATGTTGAATATAGTGCGGGAGAGCAATTTTAAAGCTGCTGCGGCTACACTTCAACAACTTTTAATTTCTGTGGAACGTATTGAGCCGAGTAATCTTACCTTAGTTGTGGAAATATGTCAGCTTTTCTCTCGTATATGTTCACGAAATATTGAATTGCTTAAATTGACACTGCGATGCCTTGAAAGGATCAATGAATTGAATCCTGGTAGCGTGAGCATCTTAACAGAATTGGGCTATCAAAAAGTATTGATCGACAATGTTCCCGATGCAGAATTAGCATTTCGTTCGGCATGTAACGTTGATAGCACCAACTTTGATGCGCTTTGCGGCCTAACATTATGCAAACTTAAATATCGTGGAGACTTGGAGAGTAGACAGCAGATACAACAGCAGTTAGCATATCTCATGAAGCTTACTGACTTAAAGCCTGAACCAATGGTTATGTATATGTCCGCTTTGTTGGGCGATTCGAAAGAGGAGGAGTCCGCGACAGTACAGTTGTTGGTCGAAGCAGCGGAAATACATTTCAAGAAATTTAGTTCATTACCTTTTGGCTTTGAATACGTATGCTCGATGAATCCTGACTTTATGCTTGGTATTTGTGGGGAGCTGATTCGCCATACTCCAGCTCCAATAAAAGAATCTCACTATGACTTAGACCTGGGCCAGGAATCCTTGCATATCACAGTCAAGCACAGTCTCAGCATTCTGGAAATTATACTACATATATGTCCAGGACACCAAGGAGTAAATATTTATTTCTCAAATCTTTACTAAATAGATGTGCAATGATAATTTTTCTTTTCCAGGCCCTCTTTTTGCAAGCGAAGCTGGAGTTTCTTTCCGGTGAGCATTCTAAAGCAATAAGCCGTCTTCAGCACATCCTAAATTTATTTGGAGACACATTCACGGAAGCTCATCTACTATTGGCGCAAGTTCTAGTGGAAAAAAAGCAATACTTTCAGGCCTTAGAGTATTTAGAATTGGCTTTGGCACAGAATTTTACAGTACGCGAACGACCCATGTATTATTTGCTAAAGGGTATAATACTTAAACATCAACAGAAGCTTTCCGAGGCTCATCAGAGTTTTCTGCTGGCATTAAAATTGGTTGGAGGGATATCAACTGTTGCGCAGATGCATGATTACATTACGCCAACTGATAACAACTTTATAACCAGTTCTGACAAAATGACTATATATATCGAACTAATCTATGTGCTTCGCGAAATTGGCGATGTGCAGGGTATTTATGAAAGCGAGCGCATTTTGCAGTCTGCTATTGAAGAATTTAATGGGACAACAGAGATGGGACGTTTAGTTATTGCCCACTCGCAACTGATGCTTGAGAAATGCAATGTTACCGAAGCTATAAATCTTTTATCTACAATCAAACCAGATCAATCGTACTATATACAGGTAACTGTAAAATGTAATATATAATTAAGTAAATATAGTTATGATGAAAAGCAATTTTGACGTGCGTACGAAAGCGAAAGAATAATATAAAATGAAGTTAAATTATTTTTATTTAAAAATATTTAATCATTTATATTTCTTTATACATCAAATTTATTATTAGGCAAAGACACATTTAGCTAACATTTACCTGACACATCAAAAAAATCGCAATGCATTCTCCCAATGCTTTAAGGAATTGGTTGAAGCTCGACCGGAACCTAGGAGCTATTTAATGCTGGGAGAGGCCTATTTGTCCATCCAAGGTCAACCGAAAATATTCTAAAATGTTGCTTAAAAATACATAGATTATTTATTATTATAGAAAGTGACATGGCAATAGATGCATACCGAAAGGCTTGCAGTATATGTCCAACGAATGCATTACTGGCTAGAAAGCTCGGTAGATCCTATGTCAAAACACATCAATATACAAAAGCTCTGAAGTACTATCACGAGGCAATTCAGAATCCCGGATATTCTGCTTTAAAGCTGGACTTAGCTGAGTTATTTTTGCAACTAAAACAATATCAAAATGCTGCAAAAATATTAAGCGACAGTGACAGACAAAATACGTGAGTATCAGTTCAATTAGATTAATGTTAAATTTGCTAAATTGTATCTTATTGCACGCTTATTCAAACCCTGGCTTTAGAAATGATGGCAGTCTTATGGAATTGCAACTGCAAACCAAACAGCTGTTACTTTTGGCTCGTATTCATGAAAAATCTGGGAACATTCCTGAATCGCTTAAAACCCTCCAACGTGCCCGAGATAACCAATATCGCGTACATAAACTTTGTACCATTGGCCATGTCGAAAACCTCTACGAGCAGTCAAAAATTTTATCAAAGTAAGTACTGACTTTTAATATTCAAAATTATATATAAGCTGTAAAAATTAAAATAAAGTAAGAAAATTATATATGTGAATACGGGCGGAGTGTATATATCAAGACGGTAAAGGGACAAGTAAAGTGCATATCTACCAATGCTGTCTGAGAGCTCAGGGTTGCCATTTATTGACAAACAATGTCCCTGAACTAAGTGCAACACATGTAGAAAGAGCAGTAGTTAGATACCTGCAGTCTCCTGTAGATCGTAACTGCTACACGTTGAGCTTCCCTGCACAGCCTGCATCCGTTGTGTTGTACGTCCAGTGGACCAGTACCCGGCATTAACTTTCATTATGTTACTCAATTATATATATAATAGAATTCATCAGCACTAAGTCATGAGACGTTAAGGAAAGGCACAAAGTACAGACAGTATTTAGCGTCCCATGAGCAGGTACAATGTTTTAGTGGGATCTGTTCTATACATTTTGGTTTTGTTTTAGATACCCTTTTATGAGTACTAACATATTTGACTTACACAAATGTTGCGATAACCGGTGTCTATCACAGTTTTAACTATTTATGAAACCATTCAATCAGCTATGTCTTCTTTGCTCCTTTATTTTATGTTTTCCATATTTCTATGCATTAAATTTTAAATTATTAATATACTTTTAACAGATCTGACAATCTCTGTCGTATTAGTTCATTATTAATGTAGCTTGTTAAACCATAACAAATTACTATGAAGAACAGTGCGCCTGTTTGAAATGAGTATAGAAATTGTAGACGTCTAGCAATAAATTTGTAAAATTTGTTGTTTTATTTAGTGCATACAAAGTTTTATTAATCTACAGACCTTTGCGATATTTCTCGCCAACCGTAAAGTCGGTCATAGCTTTACCAGCCGTTCCACATGTACCGATTCCAACTCTTCCACTAACATTATCGGGCGATGCGAATATACTGTTTACTTTCATTCCTGGTTTCTTTTGATTTTTTGTCGTAAAATTAAGCCATTTATTTTTGTCTGATTCGCGCTCTTCTTCTAAATCTTTAAAGCGCTGCTGTTTTTTCTGTTTTCTTTTTTTTAAATATTCTTTTTGATTTGGTCGATGTCGTCTGTGAATAGAAACAAGGAAGATTAATACGCGAAAATGAAAGAAATTGAAATTATTTGCATACTTATTAGACGGGAACACTTCGTTGCGGGTTGTGCGCTCACGCAATTCGTTTATTGTAGTCGTAGAACGATTTTGATAGGCTTCAAAAATAACACTTACTTCACCTTTCCCAGTTATACCCTCTATGGTTGCGTCGTAGTACTGGCCGTCCTCCGTCCATTTTGCTTGGCATTTGTCCCCAATTTTCCAATCTTTCGCGGAAGTAACAAGTTTTTCAGCTTCTAAAAGAGCAGCTTCAATTTCGTCAAAGTAATTTGACGACGCTGTTTTGGAGGAAGATGGTTCTACGTACGAGGATTTTCGCTGTTCTTCCAGTTGGGTTTTTATCAAGTCTCGCGTGAGTTTGATTACCTCCTCAAGATCGTCTTTTAATTTTAATAGTTCTTCATTGCTGGGATCTGTTTGAAGGGCAGCTTCCACCTACATAAAAGAGCGAAACACAATTATTATGTGTATGCATTTGTAAACTTACACCATTTTTCTACTGTATTTTCGTTCTATATACATTATATCTGTGTATGAACATAATTTAGATTATTTGGTAGTTTTATAAGCACATATGCATATACGTATACATATACATATACACATATATTTATAAGTAAACATATTTGTAAATTTCTACTTATAGATATTTATGTACACATAAGAAACTTTTTAAACACACTGAGGTAGTCTTTCAACTATACTCACTTGCTGTAATTGGCATTTGTAATTTTGTAATTCGTCTGCCATAGCAACACCAACTTCAGTTTTTTAATAAAACTATTTCTTGTTTTCAACGTTAGTGATGGCAACTCATTCTAAGGGTGCTCGATTGTCAATCAAATATCGATGTACTCTAGATATTTAACTCATATTTATCGAAGCATCTGTTATTGTTTGTGCAATCAAATGTTATGCATTTTAATCTGTGAATTTATTTTGTTACAAGCAATATTTGTTTCTATACTATTGCTCCAATTATAACAAAACGGTTCGACTGAAATTCGTTTGGTATTTGCGGATAAAACTATCGATAAGTCTTTGAATATGTTTCCATTAGTTACGTTATGGTTCAGAAGAGGTTCCTTAATTGCGTGTTTGCGTCTTATGAAGTAAATTTCATAATTTGAGTAGACTTAGCCAAAATTTGAACAGGATCTTTATTATTTACTTTACATCAATTAAGACGTTATTCTATCATATATAAAAAATATATAAAATATATATATATAAAATGTATGTAAAATAACTTAAAAATTGTTGCAAAAACATTTACATTTTTAAAAATTGTAAAAATAAACAAAGCCAAAGAAATCCAAACACTCATTTTGTATTAATGATATTTTTAAGGCCCGTTGGTATGTTTCCATGGGCTTCAGGAAAAATTTTATTGTGCCTTTTAAGAGTCCCCTAGTAGAAGACATACGGTGCAGTTTTGTCCTGAGCAGAATATTAAACGGACCACTAAAGTACAAATGTATAGACTTTGGAATAAAGAGCAGCTGAAGATATACAGTATTGGACATTAGTTTATTACTGATGAGGTCTGACATAAATAGTCCAATTTTGTCAATAAATGCTCCAGAACCATGGATCATATCAATGTAGATAAGCTTGCGCGGAGAGCTAAAAGGCACGACTTAAAGAAAATCAAGGAAACCGAAATAAAAATAAAATTAGAAAAAAACAAAAAAATCTAGTATAAGTTATATAAAACCATAAATACCAATTAATTAATATTATTTTTTATTTAGGATATGTATTCTAATTGCCCAACAGGCGATTAAAATTAAGAACAGCGAACTAACCATACATCATTTTAAGGAGTGTATTAAATACACTCCGAATGATCTTGAGATTTTGGTCTCTCTTGCTCACCTCCAAATGGAGTCGAAAGAAATGGATTTGTGTCGCAATACTTGTCAGCAGATACTTCAAATTGATGGCAATAACGAAACCGCTTCAGTATTGATGGCTGACTTATCATTTAGGAAGGTATGTATTGAACCGTATGGAATAAAAGCAGTTCTCAGATAATCAGTGATAGTTCATATTTAATGTAGCTAGTAAATAAATCACACATATAAAAATTTAATTTTTAGCTCTTTTGCTGGTGGTGTGTAGTATAATAAGATATGTCTTCAGACCCGCGCATCGAAATACATATTATTTAAATATATATATTTTTTCATTTTTAGATGGAATTTAAGAATGCAGCATATCATTTTTCGCAACTTCTATTGTCGCAGCCTTGCAACTGGACAGCTTTGGCCCGACTGATTGAGGTTATGAGACGTTCTGGCACATTGTCGGAGAGTCTGCCTTTCATGGAACGTGCTGAACAGGCGTCCTTACAGTCTAAAACCTCAACTGGATATGCGTATTGCAAGGGCTTATTCGAATGGTATAATGGTAATCTAAACAGTGCCTTGCGCTACTTCAATCAGTCTCGGAGGGATCACATCTGGGGTCAACAAGCAAAGCTTAATATGATTGAAATATGCATAAATCCCGATGGAGAAATACCGAGTGCAAATGATCTTTTAGAGGCGGGAGATAGTGGTGAATTCAGCGAGTCCCGATTAATTGCCTTGCGAACAGCCGAACGTTTGCTTAAAGAAATGCGTCCTCGAACTGGAGAGATATATGAAAGCACCTTGAATCGTAGAATATTTTGGAATTTCTTACAAATGGCATCAAAGCAAAAACTTCAAGTTGAACTAGCTCTAAAGGACCTAACTGAGCTTATGCAAAAAGAAGGAAACCCATTAATGGTCACCGTAGTGTATGCTATCGCCTTGGCCCTAGTTCAACTAAAGCAAATGCAACGTGCAAAAAACCAGCTTAAACGTATAGCTCGCTTAACTTGGAACTATGAGGACGCCGAATACTTAGAGCGAAGCTGGTTGCTGTTGGCTGATATTTATATTCATGCCAATAAATTAGATGTTGCAGAAACATTTGTAGAGCGAGTCCTGGAATATAACAAATCAAGCACGAAAGCTTATGAACTCGGCGGATACATTGCAGAAAAGTTACAGTCTTATGGTGATGCTGCCAAGCAATACCAAAAGGCTTGGGATAGTTGTGGTCATTCTAAGCCACACATTGGGTACAAATTGGCATTAAATAATATGAAGAAAAAGCAGTATGCTGATGCTGTTAATATTTGTCAACAAGTCTTAAAATTGCACCCAGACTACAATATTATTCGCAAAGATATACTTGAAAAATGTCGTAATAACTTAAGAACTTAAATTAATATATTTTTATTTAAATAAACAAATATGGGTGTTCCCCTTTGAAACGTATCTAAATAATTTCACTGTCACTCATTCAATGAAAATTAGCATAGGGTCATAGGGTCATAGGGTCAACATAGCGTACATTTTATTTTTGTATTGAAGACGGAATTCTGACGAGTTCAGGAAATTGTCCTAGTAGATAAATTCTCCATAGGTTAATTAGACCCAGACGTTCTCAAACACGAACTGCTTTATTTTATAGGACTTTTTATAAACTCCTACAAAAAAATGGACGATACACGGACGATACAAGAAGGCAAACGTTAGACGCATAAGGAAAACTTGTTGAACTCAAGCTAATAAAAAAATGATGGCAAAAAACTACGGTATTAGATTTGAGGGAAGAGCTCATACATTCCGACATACTCACAGTACAGTCGGACGTCGCAAAGGCAGCACATTAGCAACAAGCAAATCAATGGGCACCAAATTAAAAGTTTTTTAACTCAAGAAATCCAGCTTTGACTACGATTTCAACGCATGTGGGACAGACTAATTCTTAAAAACGAAAAAAAATTTATATATCTACTTAGATCTAGCTTACCATTAATTCATAGTAATAAATCTATCTACTATGGTTCATGATGCGAAGATATAATACGAGACATAACCCCGAGATCTGAACAAATCGTAGATCGGATCAAGGCCAGGCAAATGCCAATTGAGTGTTTTAGTTGAGAAAGACCGACTAGTAAAAATTACATGCAACAAACAACTCACGCACACACCACACATATGCAAGCAAAAGTACGCGATCTGCTCACGCAATCGATCTTAAAACCAAACCTCTGCAATATAACCTACGGCAACATTCTTACTCTGAAATTATTGAAAATACGTTCTTATTCAGCGGATATCGCTACTTCTGCTTTCGAGGAAGCATATTCAGCTGACTAGAACAGCGAATAAGCGGATGCATGGTAATGACTAAAAGGACAGTTAATTATCTAAACTTTATATTAGAGAGAAAAGTCACCTTTACGGGACAGATTGAACAAGATAACTCGGAAAACGCAACAGAGTCTGTGAATTGACTAATGGCAAATATTGACTGACTGACTGCAGGAAAACAGCAGTATTTACTGTCGACGTCCGTGCACATCAGCGCAAGAATATAAGATCTCCGGCAAAATGTATCATTTTCGGCAAAGCCGACGTTTGTTATACCCTGATCAAATTGAAAATGGGAAATCAGGGTATAATGGTTTTGTGCAAATGTATGTAAAGTATATATTCTAGATCAGGACGACAAACCGAGTCGATTGTGCCCAGTCCATCTATCTGTCCGTCCGTCTGTCCGTATGTGTGAACGCGTGGATCTCAGCATCTATAAGAGCAAGAGACTTGAAATTTTTTGTAGGTCCGTGTATAGCACGCGCATGTCAACTGTGTTTCAAATATTCGATAACTATTCGCATTTAATTGTTGTCGAATAAAACATGATTAAAATGCAGTTAATAAATTATATCTCGGACGTCTTAAGAGCTAGAGCCTTAAAATGTTGTATTTAGTTTTATGTATATTTTATGCAATTTTGATTTTTGTTGGATTTTGGATATCGGCTCCAAATTTCCCCAAATTCTTTAAATTTAAGTTTAGTTGAAACTAGGGCCATTATGTGAAGGCGTTTGCAACTCTACCAAGCTGATAGGATATGCAGATCATATGTGCACGCATACATTCAAATGCGTGTATTGTATTTTATTCGAAGAATCGAAATTGCGATTGAATTGTGCTGAATTATTAGCTGCTACTTAACTTCCAATTTTCAACCGCTTGAGTAAGCATTGCAGTGGCTGCGTTGGTCTCGGGTTCAAGCCTCGCGACGATGGATACTTTTTTTTTTTATTTTTTTAATTATGAAGTGGCGGTGATGGTAGAGTTCGTGCGCGTTGCGTAAAAATTGTGGGTTCGAATCCTGGTGTCGTACTGTCGATTTTTATTTGCTTTCTTACTTGTTATTTTAAAGGTACCTGCATAATGTGAAGAAAATGATCAAATCAAGCAACATTTACTCTGAGACTTTGCCAAAAAAAATTGCTGCGGAAAAAATGGAACCTGATCCCAGCAATACTAATGATAGTGCTCGATTAGAGCGCATAGAGGCGTTTATCCTTGAAGGTCAATACGGAATATCACTCGGCACCAAAGAGGTAACAGTCTAAGGAAGAGGAATCCTTTAATCGGTAACCAGTGCAGTCTGATACACCGATCAGAGTACTTTTATTTGCTTCACCCACAAAAAAACAACAAAAAATTGGATCATATCCGAAAACAACTATGACTTTTATGAAATTTATGCCATCTGTAAGCTGTATTTTTCGTAATATATTTTGTAAGTTACATATGCCAGCATTACTTACTCTTGTGGATTTGTTTATATATAAATTATTAATTGGTTATTTCTAAAGTCATAGCATAGCATATCTGTATTTTATGAACATCTTTTTAGACTTTATAGGAATTATATTGCATCTCGTAGTTTTCGACAAGGGTACAAGGTGCTGAGGGGTATAAGTATTCATTCTGATTAATAACCTTTTTAAACTATAAGAGCGAAATAAGTAATAGTTACTGCTTAATTCTTGAAAGGCTTATCGCTTGTTCTAAAGTAGTTCTTAGAGAAAATAAAAATGTGTTCATGTCGTCACACTACCAACAGGTGATACTACTTTTAATTTGGTCTTGCTCAAAATGCGGTTTGCTGCCAGAAATAACTCAGATTTGCTCATTGAGCAATTCAACTAGGAATGCAAAGTTTTCCCAAATTCAAAAATAAGTGTAGGCCAGAGGTCGAGATAATTTAATTCAATTGACACCATTTATTAGCCTTAAATTGGTCTATTGTGGTCAAGTATGAGGCATGTGGGCAAATTACTGCTGATAGTAATAATCTGATATAATATAAATATATTCACGTAGTACGGCAAAACAAAACTTATGAACGAGACGTTTAGTTTAAGATTTTCTCTCAAATGTGTCGGTATATACCTCCAAATTCCAGTATTTATATATACGAAAACTAAAAGTAAAGCTGAAAGTTTTTCAATGTGTGTGTTCAATATTCAGTATTGTTGAAATATAAATGTATAAGCACCTTTATAGAGTCTATACGTATTTATAGTATCGTCAGTTATAAAGATAAATGGGGTTTAATAGGTAAGCCCTCTGGAAGCCCACTAAAACTGACAAAGTTGTTTCTATATATAAGTATTTTATTGCAGCCTTGTGTCTTTAAGCTTAACACGATTGTAAACAGAAGAAATTTCATTTTTAAGATTATTAGAAGGAGGAAGACTTTTTATCTTCAATAGTTAAGGCAGGTATATAAAGGTGTATCATCATCATCTACATATGGTATCATGGCGCCTTAACAGCAAGGCTTAAACGTTCTCAAATAGACATTGCTTAAGACAATTTAATAAGGTAACTAAGACTGATACCAATTGCTTAGAGGAAAAAGAAACAAATTCTGTTGTTAACTCAGCTGTGACGCTTAATTATACCCACAGATTCGTTAGATAAGAAAGCTAGATAGATAAACTGCTTAGACTATTAAAGATTACTCATCTGGCGTAAACAAATCACAGCAAAACTTTCTTTTACAAATATATATATTATTATTCACCAAATTTCAGTTATGACTCATTGAGCTCTCTCTAAACATTAACTGAGTTCTTGGCCTCGCTCCAGGAGAATATGATCTCTAGTAATTGTGTATAACCGACGTTTGCGTTCGACTGCAGCGTACACTTAAGTTTTATGTTAACTTTGATTAGAAAAAGTTGAGTTAAGTCCAATATATTAGTGTATTTTGTGTATGCATCTCGCTTTTCATCCTGCTCTATCCTCCACTTAATCAACGGCATACGTTCCCTTTTGATATCTAAGTGTCAACGTCTTTGAACTGCCAGCGCCTTAGATACTTTCAGAAAGGATTTGCCTTTCTTTTGCTTTTTGTTGCTATTTCGAGATAATCTGATAACTGACAATATTTGTCCGTCATAAATTAATAAATAAAACAAGCATGGACTTATATAGGTTTATATTTCATTAAATTTTGATATTTTCTGTGCCTTTGATTCGCACTCATTGAGCTGTGCCTCAAGTAACCAAGCTTGGAATTTTTCACAAAAGTTTATTCAAATTATATAAATTATTCGCACTATAAATATATTTTTAGCATTACTGAATGTTTAACAATATTACATTATCAACAAGTAAACATGAACAAAATACATATGAAAGCTATTAGTATGTTTGCGTAGTGTCTTTGTCAGAAGCTGAATTTTGAAGAAAACTTTTGTCAGTGGAACAAAGTTGGCAAAAAAATTTACCCCACATGCGTCGCGTTACAGGATCTAAGATAATAAAATATATAAAGATAACAAACCCTTGCAGTGTTGCTGTCAAACTGAAAAGGTATGAAAATACGATACCAGCTCTTATGGAGGATAGAATGCCGAAGCACCACGTGAAGCCCAACAGAAAGAATAGCAATACCGATAAACGTATCTGATATATTAGTACAGGTGTGTCATTGCGCCTAATTGGCAAGCTCGAGCTCACCAATATGTTGTATATGATGAGGCAAAAGATTATAAAGTTTGCTATTATAATAATTGAAATTGGCATAATTATGCCAAAATAAAGGGCATATCCGGATGGGTAGCATATGGGGCCCTTACTAAACGAATCATGGTCTAGCACAACAGCAAGCACCACAGGTATAAGTGGTACGCCCCAACAAAATATCGTTGATTTCATAAAAAATCTGCTTGGGCGACCTCCGCCGAATACTTGAACATATCGCTTAAACTGCAAATAGGCGATTAATATCATCCAGAAGAACTGGACCAACACAGAATAATGGAGTAGAGCTCCAATGGCTACGCAACTGGGTATGATCTTGTTGATAATCAAGTGTAGGGAATATTCTTCAGTATTGATAAAGCAAAGGATTATCATTTGCAAAGCGATCGCAGCCGAAAGCTGCAGAAGGACCTTAGACGAAGGTTTTTGCCGCCAAGAACTAAATATTGCAGCTGTTATGAAGATGCCTGATATGCCAAGTAGCGATAATGTACAGCCCGTAACTGTAATAATGTCTAAGGCCTGGCCATGATTTGGCCGGACATTGACTTCATCAGATTCTTCCACTGTAAAATTAAAGCCCACTAAATAAGCGAATGGCGTCAGATGGCTGACCTGGCAGAGCACAATATCGTTATTAATGTCTGAGCGATTCGATACCTGTCTTATGCCATCAGTGGCCCAGTTTTCAAAATTCCAATAGCTACACATATCTGTGGTGGTATTATACTTTAATGAGCTGCCTTGCCAGTTGCGGAATGCAATTGGCAAATCTTCAGGTAATTGCGTACTGTGGCCGGGTAAGGATATTGAAACGACGCGTCCCAATGCAGACTGTGCAGTTTGATTTGCTTGTGATTGAAAGAGTTTGTCGTTCGAGTAGACTTTGATAACCACAATGGTATTTGTGTTTTCAGTAATATTATTTGCATTCAAAATTGTATCCAATTGTGATAAGAGCCTCTCAGGTACATAGGTAGCAAATTGTAGGTCAGGTTCGTTGATGAAGTCCTCTATTTCATGGTTGGACTGCAGAAAGCGATAGTGCTCGTTTCGAAAAGCGCCTTTTAATGAATAAGGTAGCTCGGTATCATTATTGTTTTTAAACATTGCAATTCCAGAAATATTCGCAATTAACGGATTAAGTATAAAATATAACAGGTTGGGGGATATTTTCACAGATACTCCAATATCGTCATAGTCCAACACTTCAAAGTCGTCATTTGACTCGAATTCATTAGAATTCGGTATTCCTTTTAGCTCTGGCAAGACGGACTGCGATGACAAGGCATTCTCAAACGCTTCAAGCAGTTTGTTAGTTGAGTTCAATTTCGCAGACATCTTTAACGTCTTTTCTTTCACGTTTATTAGATAATTGTAAATATGTATCAGATCTTGTGTAGTTTCCTTAAATACTGAGTAGGCTCGACTCTGCTCTTCGATTGTTGTATTCCGCGACAAGCTGAGGACATAGTTGTCCAAATTACGTACAGAGACTTGAACAATATTGGCAGCAAAATGTATGTCTACAGGTATAAACTTTTTGGCATTATCTTGTAAGATCTTTTTGACTTCTTTTACCATCTTTTCCGGAGAGGTTTTTAGCTTTTTAGAGCTGGACAAGCTATAAAGAGTATTGGTGATTTTCATATTTGCCTGGTGCATTTCGCATTTAGGATTTTCATTTAGCGTTTCCCAATAAGCGCCCTGTATAAAATTGCCGTTGCATTTTCGCGTGTATGGCATTCCGTTGCTTTGCAGGCACAATTTTGATAAGGTGCCCACCTGTCCAATTTCTGCCTGATTCCAATGATATATTTCATCATTGTCCAGACGAAAGGTCTCGGGAAAACAATATTCTGTGCTTCGTATTACACTCGCCTCATGATGAGTGTAAATTGAAATGACCTCTTTCAACATGTTCCATACTGTCATGCGAACTGATGTATCGTGCCTAACTTGATTATCATTTTCCGAGCTATTATTTTCTTCGCTGCTTTCTTCCTCGCTATTATCCACTGCCGAGTTTTTCATGGAAGCCGTCAAATGTATCCAGCAATCCAAGTTCTGAGCTGCAATCTCTTCGATACTCATGATACGTGCATTATGTATAACGAGATCTCGGGAAATTTCTTTGCCCTTCTTTCGCAACTCGGCCAAAACATTTTTGGCAAGTATTTTCGAGTTTTTATTGATATTAGTGCACATATTTGTATGACTGTTCTTATTGACAATTATGCAACTGACATTGAGCTTTACTGCAAAGGAGTGTCCGCGCCTTTCTTTCTCTGCGACTAGACGTTGGCTAGTCACAAAATGAAAATCGAAAACCGTATGCCCTTCACACCAATATTCGCCTGGGCCTTCACCAACCAGCTTGACCTTAAAGATTGACTTGGTCTTATCTTTATTTTCCCAAATAAGATCAATTTTAGTGTTTCGTTGAAGTTCATAGTCCGCGTTTGAGAAACAGCTAACACCCTTATCATCTTCACTGACACGCCACAGATATTCGCCATTGTAAACTATCAGAATCAATTCTTGTAGTGCAGCGTCAAATTTCAGTATAAGTTGAACAGGGTTTGCTTCAGTGTTAATTTGTCTTTTGTACAGAATCGGAAATTTCAAGTTATTTTCAAGCCTCACGACTCGCACCACTTCTTCGTTATTCATCGTAATTGCATACTCATTGTTGAATTGATCAGCAAAATAGTCAACTTGAAAGTATTCTTTTGATTTCTCCTTGGGCAGGTGCTTTAGGGCCAATCTTAAAGTGTTACGTTTCTGAAAATATTCACTGATGCGTATCTCATTTTGCGGCTTACTTAATACATATTGCCAATCAACACCATAGCATTCAGTTGGACGGTAACTAAGAGCGCCTTCTCCTTTGGGACAGCCTGAGCTTGTTATGAGTTTGCCTTCAAAGATACAAATTGAGTGCAATAATTCATCACAGCCCGTCATCTTTTGGATAAAGTCGGTCTTCCTTATCCTTTGCTGTTTGTTTTGTTCGCGATTAGAATATCGTATGGACATACAGTTCTTATCAGCTCTAAAATCTAAGATGTTCGTCTTATCATCGACTGCTTCCCCCCACTGCTCACCTGGCAAGCGTATTTTAAATGGCATATAACTACTTTCACGCTGTATTGGTAGCCAATACTCGGTCAGGTTTGTTTCGTTCAAGAACTTGGCAAAGCTTAAGGCTTCCTCTTTAGAAAGCTTGTGAGGGAAAATAATATTTGCCCCTTGGCAAAATTTGTCATCATACTTCTGAGGCTGTGATGAGATTTTCAAGCAGAGCACATCGCCATCTTCATTCTTAATTTCCACTAAGTCCTCTGGGCAATACTTTTGATATCTTCCCTCTTCCTTGCATACAACATCCTCTGGCAGCCACTGTCCAGTGGTTGTGTTGCATTCGCGCACCAAGACTTCGCCATTTTCCATCCAACAAAGAACATCTTCAGAAGTTGTGTAACGCGTGCCTCGAAATTTCCAATATGCTATGCCGTTGCTTGTCTCTGTTATACTATCTTCGCATTTGTGAATCTACACGTGATCAAATAGTAAGCTTTAATATAATTGAAACTAGTTCCAGACTGATCTCTGACCTTTTTTGTTAAAGTACACGACAAATGTAGCCACACAAAAAGAAGTAATATGAATCGCTTAGGCATTTTAAAAAGCCAAAAAGCATCAATAGATGCGCACAGCACTTTACGATTTATCTTTCACATCTAAAAACAAAAACGCAGTCCAAGCTATCTTTTCATTCTTTATCTCAATTCAGTTAAACATCTTTATCTCTGTTATCAAATGTATATATTATACCCTTTACAATTGAAAGAATAAATCGGGTATTTAGTACCTAGATTTAATAATAAAATTATAATTAAAATTAAAATTAAAATTAAATTAAAGTAAATACAAAAATATAGTTTCACTTTGAAACTTATTTAAATTCGAAAATTATTTAATTTTAACATATTTCCATTAAAATCATTAATATTTTAGAGGAAATCGTTTTTCAATATTTTTTGAGTGTATGACAAATTTATCTGTCTGCCGCATTTTTCAACCGCAGCCGCATACAGAGCAAATAAATAGGAAAGTGTCTATAGTCTGGCTAAAAATAGGCTAACACGTTATTCGGCAGCCTGGGGCAAATACTTTTTTGCTTAATTTCTAAAGCCACTGTTCAATTTTGTTGTGTCCAAATTATATTTGAATATGTGGCAAGTGCGCTTGGTCTATTCGAAAATGGTTGACTAGGAGATACCCTCATCTATCTGCTAGGCTGGGTAGCAATTTATTGGCTCCAATTGCAGGAAGAACGACTGGATTACTAAGTGAAGTAGAAATTGTGGCGTAGAGAAGGCATTTTTATTTAATTTTTAATCTATCATAAAAAAACATTTTGCGAATATCACAATTTCGATCAGCACCGAGAAGTGAGACAAAGCCGTAGAACTTCAAATTTACTTATCAATGAATATTTTCTCGAATATACTCCCGTCTTATACATAATGCAAAAATTTAAAGACTTGAAAAAAAATTTTGATGTAAACTACAACATGAAAGCTTTCAATATTTACGCCCATTGCAGCGCCAACACAACATTTGATTACTCAGTTAACCTTTTCTATAAATGCATCCCAGTTAGAGTTACCAATCTTTGCAGGTGTATATAAATCAATAATATAGTCCACATGTTTCCAAATAGATTTAGCTGTTATCGACCCTGATTAAGTTGCGGTAGGATGCGCCTCACTGAAATCACAAATAATTTGGTTACTTGAAATACTGGGTCTGAAATGCTCATTCATTTTATCTATAAGAAAAAGAAAGTTTGCAAATTAATATTGCTAAAACTTATTTTTAATATTATCTTTTTTATTTTATGTTTTTTTTTTCAGGAAAATGCAAGGATTCAGTGTGCTAATATTTCTGTTTTTGCTGTTTTGTGGTCATGAAACAAGTCATGTAAGTTGTCAACATATTAAAAATATCGCATAGATTTTGGCTATCTAAACGTGTTTTGTTCTTACTTACAAATTGTATATAAAATGGCAAATGATCTGCCATTTAATTTATAAATTTCGTTCTCTTTTAGGTTGTTAAGCGCAGCATTGACCCATCAGCCTCGTACCCTCTTATTACTGATGATCGACTGCCGAAAGATGTTATACCACAGAGCTATGATATTTATCTAGAACCGAACGTTGAAGAAAATATATTCTCTGGTCACATAAAAATGAATTTGACGTGGAAATCAGATTCTAAAAAAATTTCAATCCACGCTCATTTTAATTTGGATATCAATGACAGGAAAATTGTCTTACGAAAAATAAATAAGAATAATAGGTAACCAAAACTTGACTTTCAATTACTAAATTAAGCTTTAATCTATACATTTTCTTCAGTGACTCGCAGTTATCTGATAATGTATCTGTTGTGCGCGGCAGTCGATTCCCAAAGAAAACAATTTATATCATATACCTAAAAGAAGTAATCAAACAAGGCACGGAGTGCCTTTTAGAAATTCCGTTTGAAGGAAGCATTTGGGAAAGTGGAGAAGGCCTATTCAAAGGATCCTATTCAAATGGGACTTATTTGGCCACTTACTTAAGACCGAATAACGCTCGACGGCTGTTTCCCTGCTACGATGAACCTGGATTTAAGGTATACTTATTGACAAATTATAAATATTTCAATCAATAAGTTCTAATTATATTGGTAGGTGCCATTTACAGTCTCCATTACAAGACCGAGTCACTTAGTTACGATATTTAATACTCCGCTGGCTCGTACTACCAACCAGTAAGTAAAAGTGTATGTCTAAAATAATAAATTTAGAGTAAAGAGAAACCGGAAATGTAAAAAACAGACAACCAATTGTGTAGCTGTTATCATTTCAAATATTATTTATTATTATATTATTGACACGATAATCAAATTGTAAATCAAAAACACTTTACAAGAAATCCAACAAACGGAGTTTTTTTATTCTCAGTATTTTTGTTTTTAATTTGTCTACATTTTGCTATGAAATTTTTATAAAAATAGCTCATAATTTTTTTGAAGGCAAATTTTCGTATCCAAAGGTTAATTATTTTTTAAGCTAGTTCAAGTACTTTTCCAATAACTTTTGTTCTCAATAAAATAATATAATAATTTAATACTAAACTTAAATAAGTCTTTAATCATAATGCTGAGATACAAAATCCTTTCGACTTGTTGGAATATCAATTTTTTTTCTTGTTGTTTAATATTGAAAAACAAAAGAAAAAAACTTTCAGGTTGTGTGTTCCACTTTTAAGAAATTTTAGTTAACTGAATTTAGTTATTATTATTGCTATGGTACTATTGCTATAGTAATTTATAGACGATAATCTCTTAACAAGGCATTCAATTTGTTGTATTTTCATCAGTTTTAATAAATTTCAGTGTAAAATACCTGATTTACATAAGATACATTAAAATCTCAAAAGACAAATATCCATTCTTTTCCAGCTCTATTCTCAAAGATCATGTAATCGACTTTTTCGAAACAACCCCACCTATGTCTTCATTTACATTTGGCTTTGTGACGTCGAACCTTGTAAAATTGCAAAATGAGGTCAAACCTGAAGCGGAATTAAAGACTCAATCAGAACCTGTTATAAATCTTTGGGGCTTTGAAGATAATGTAAATCAGTTAAAAGTAAGAAACAATTTTTCTTTTATTGAAATTTATTTATTTTACACATTTTACTTTTTTATATTATTATTTATTTAAATATTAATCATAAAAAAGTCATTTTAAGTATGTGAAATTAATAATAAGACTTTTATTTTTCTTGAAGTGAAAAGAAGTTAGCCCGCAGGAATTTACTTATATCAGAAAATTCAATTCAATCATCGGATTATTGTACTATAAAAAAACGCCAACATCGACTCTCAAAATGGCAATATTTTTTTTTATTATTTATTATATTTATATAAATTACCTTTATCATTTTGTAGTTCTTTGAAGAGTTGAGTATATAAAGATTATAAGAATAGAATATTCTATACAATTTTTTAAATTATTAGGAAATATATTTAATAATACGATATTGAAATACTTCAAATACACTGATATACTTACGCATAAGATTAAATTATTTGAAGTTCAAAATTCCATTTTAAGAATATTGAATACTTCAAGTAAAATATATAGCATGTCGCTACAATTTAAAAAATCAGTGCATAATGAAATTTATTGGAGTATGGAAAATATTTTTATTATTTAATGTTTATTTTATGATAATTATTTGTTTATTTTAGGAAGTTCGTGAAAAAGTTTTACTTGCTCATAAAGCAATACAAAGCTATTTCGAAATACCTCTTCCTTTATCTAAAATCGATGTGGTTGTCATACCTGAGCTACCAGTAGTGCGCCCGGTAGATAATTGGGGCTTGCTGCTGTTTAAGTAAGAACAAATTTCCAACCTTAAACAACAAACACGTCTTTATGCTATAATATATAATATTCTGAACAGAGAAAGCGATCTTATGCAAAATCGTTATTACGATATAGCACAGGAACTGATATATCAATGGATTGGTTCGTGGGTCACTCCTGAATGGTGGACTGATGCCCATCTTAACAAAGCCCTGGCAAGTTTCTTGGCGTCAGAAATTGTTATAAAGGTAAAACATGACATTTAATAAATTTAAAAATAAATTGCAATAAGCTTTTTATATATAGTTAGACGGTGGCATCGAGTTCAATGGCAAATACCCTATGACGACGCTATACTCAATATATTATGAGTTCAGCAAAAGGTATCCCCATTCTCGCATCACAGCAATGAAGCAAGAGACAATCTCTTATAAAATGGAGCTAGTCATACGTATGCTAAACTTTACTTTGGGCAAAGACTCGTTCCAAAAAGGCCTTAGAGCATTCATTGAAAATCTTCAGTTTAAAACATTTGTCGGAAATGATCTTTGGAGTGCGTTAACCACTCAGGCGGTAAAGGATGGAACCCTAAAGAGCCAATACAATGTGGCAGACATTGTCGGCACGTGGTTTGCGATTCATCGCTTACCCGTAGTAACTGCTCGCAGAGATTATGAAAAAAATACCGCTACAATTCAGCAAAAGCTGTATCTCAGAGAGAGGCCGCATGATGTGCCAGAACAGGACAAAATGGTTTGGTGGATTCCAATTGTTCTGAATCGACAAGATGCACTTAATTTTTCAAACTGCAGTCCCTACGTGTGGATGGAAAAGGCTCAGCAAATGACAATTAATAATATGCCGCCAAATGATCAATTTATTATTATCAATCAAGAAGAAATTGGTCCATTTCCAGTTAACTACGATGAACGAAATTGGCAAATGCTCTCTAATTTCTTACAAACTGAAACTGGTCGAGCTCTAGTTCCAACATATACGAGGTGAGCTTTTTAAATTACACTCCAACTGCACGAATTAAAAATGCTACCTGTTTGTTAGATTTCATACCTTCGGCCAAACACAAAATACGGTTCAATTGCTAATTTATTTAGAATTTTTAAGAGCAACTACAAGCTCAGTTGACATATCCACAAAAGTAAAGTTTGTTCGATTATGCTCTCTTTTCGATAAGCTTTGATATTTAGCCTTACTTTTGAATCATAGCTAGGCTAAAACGGAACATTTTCTTTTTGCTATAGAAATATTTTTTTTTGTAAATAGAAACGGTGTGCACTGAGAAAGTATTGTAAAGCTTGTGATTAATTTCAAAAATCATTATTTTTGAATATAAGCAATAATTACAGAAGCTGTATGATTTTTGCCTGATTTGGAAAAACTTGAAAATTATTTTGAATCAAATTATTCAAATCCCTCAACATCAACTTCAACTTGCTCCATGCTTATTGGGAAGTTTCACTTCTTACAACACTTTTTTCGCTTTCAGGTCGAAACTCTTACATGATGCTTGGAATCTTGCTTACGCTGGTGATTTAGGTTTTGCAACGGCCCTCAATATGACATTATTTATGAAATTCGAACGAAATCATATCGTATGGAATCCGGTCTTCACATTTATTGATCAAATTGGTCGGCATATTGATATGCCAGAGGTCCATAAGAAGTTTGAGGCAATTAATAACATTTGCAACTTAAAACGCGAATAGAAATGATGAGAGTACAGCTTATAATTTTCAGGAATACGTCCTAATTCTGCTCACACCTTTATATGAAGATCTGGGTGCTGAAATTGAAAACGAAGATAATTGGAAGACGGATTTGCGCTCGTTGACTAAGAGATTTTTGTGTGGCGCCGGCTACCGTCCTTGCGTAGAGGAAGCCCAAAATGCGTACAGTGTCTGGCAACACTCATCCGATCCAAATTTGGAAAATCCGTCAGTACCCATATCCATATCCACATATCGATTTTCATCCCAATGACTCTTTCTGTATCATAGGGTACCAAATCATTATATTTGTCCAATTTTCAAATGGGGCACCATGGAAGAGTGGCAGTTCGGAATACAGCGCGTGATTGAATTTCCAAAATCACGTAAGCAGAGTGAGAGAACTTATTTATTGAAGACACTAGCTGGTTGCCCAACTCAACCTGAAAAGGTCCTTCGACTGCTAGAGCTATCGATTTTAGAAGATAACTCTAATTTCACCGAAAACGATCAATTCTTGATATTTTCCTCCCTTACTGGCACCTCCAATGGCTATTACACATTATTTAAATTCTTATCTGACAACTGGACGACCATTCGGGAAAAGTAAGTGCATAAACATCTATATCTGTAATAAAAAATAATAATAATAAATAAAAAAATAAAAACAACATATTGAAGAGCATTTGTTGGTCACATAGCCCGATACACATATGAAGAGTAAATAGAAAAAGCTATATATTTTAAAACTCGTATTTATGAGTATAAACTGATATTAGAAATTGATATAAAAAAATGATAAATATTAATTAAAACAATTTCTATTTTTGAGTGAATAATTTAAATGCCTTAACTTATTAAGTTATATTTGAAACATTTCAAAGTATTTCTCACAATTTTGAATAAGAAGACTTAAATAAAAGATGAAAAATAATCATTATCTTACAACATTTTAATAAAGATCTTCTGAATGCGATAGTTAATTTGATATAGATTTCATGAGATGGATAAATAAATTATATATACTGGGAGCTTAGCAAACCGGGATAAAGCTATCCTGAGTATTCCGCTTAAAATGCCAAATTTCTCATGTGTATCACATACACGACAAATTGGCCTACAAATTATATGTTCTGAAAATATTGAATATTGAATATTAAAACATTTAAATTTTTGCTTATGAAAGAGAATATTTTATGTTTCCATGTTAGCACCATTGCACTTTGTTATATTATCAATTTATAAAAAATCCACAGCCTATTTTCACTAACATCATTATACGAATTAATTTTTGTATGCTTGACACTTTTTAAAGGCTTTATAGTTTATTTGTTAGTTAACCTTGTTGGTTGGAACTCAAATATTTAGAATACGCAAGTAAAAAATCGATTTCAAATCTCTTATTTCACAACCAAAAATTGGATCCAGAAAATGTACAAAAAATATATATTTGCAATGGGTATCTAGGTAAATATTTGTTTCAGATTCTTAAAATTAGAGCAATTTTATATTTTCCTTATAAAAATAATTTAAATTAAGTTTAACATTGAACAAGTTGCTAATGGCATTTTGAAAAGATATATCTATAATTGAATTTAAAATAGATTTTTTTTCGAGTTTGCTTTTTCAATGACAAGGCCAATTCGATTATTATATTTTTATTTATATTTTTCACAATATTTTATTTCTCATAAATGTTTAAATTTTAGACTGAAAGATAATACCAACCTATGGGATCACTTGATAGGATCAGCCACAGGTTTCTTTCTAACTCAAAAGGGATATGACATGGTGCAGCAGCTCTACGAACAGCATTCTGGAGAGTTTGGAAGCGCCCAACACATAATTGAAAAGTCTCTTCGGAATATTAAAGAAGAAGCACTGTGGAGTGAAGCGAATCTACCGGTCATTGAAACTTGGCTAAACAACTTTCTTTCCAAAAACTCCAGTAAATCTTCTTAAGAGGTCATTGCAACCCAATCTTTTGGGTTAGATAATTATATCTTATGTTTATGTACCGCAAGTTAAGAAACAAAATAAAACATTCTCTGCATATTGATTTGCATATTTTAGTAAAAGTTGTATTTATTTTCTTCAAAAATCGTAGGTTTGTTATGTAGAGTATAAAATGTGATCCATTAACTTTAATCAGCTCTAAATATTCGTCATTCCTTAGTATTCATCACCCTCGTCGACTTCGGTAGTAGAATCAATTCCGACCTCTTCATAATCCTTCTCAAGTGCTGCCAAATCCTCCCGAGCTTCAGAGAATTCGCCTTCCTCCATGCCTTCCCCAACGTACCAGTGTACGAAAGCACGCTTGGCATACATTAAATCAAATTTGTGATCCAAACGAGCCCAGGCTTCAGCAATGGCTGTGGTGTTGGACAACATGCATACAGCACGTTGAACCTTGGCCAAGTCGCCGCCAGGCACCACTGTGGGTGGCTGATAATTAATGCCCACTTTGAAGCCAGTCGGGCACCAGTCCACGAATTGAATTGATCGCTTAGTCTTGATTGTGGCGATTGCTGCATTTACATCTTTTGGTACCACATCACCCCGATAGAGCATACAGCAAGCCATATATTTGCCATGCCTTGGATCGCACTTGACCATCTGGTTGGCGGGTTCAAAGCAAGCGTTTGTTATTTCAGCAACAGTTAATTGTTCGTGATAAGCTTTTTCAACGGAAATTACTGGAGCATATGTAGCCAAAGGAAAGTGAATGCGTGGGTAGGGAACTAAATTGGTTTGGAACTCTGTTAAATCAACATTAAGCGCTCCGTCGAAGCGCAACGATGCTGTTATTGAGGAAACTATTTGGCCAATTAAGCGATTTAGGTTCATATAGGTGGGTCGCTCGATGTCTAAGTTCCGACGACAAATGTCATATATGGCTTCATTGTCAACCATAAATGCGCAGTCAGAGTGCTCCAGGGTGGTGTGGGTAGTCAAAATTGAATTGTATGGCTCAACTACAGCGGTTGAAACCTTTAAACGAAAAGAAATAATGTGTTAAGCATATATGGACACACATATATGTACTAGATATTTCAAATTTTGGGTGTGTTCAACCTCAATCTTCTGATTATCTGATCAATTATCCAAGTTTCGAAAGCAATCAAATATGAAGGTTTTATTTCGACATTAAGAGAAATATTTACTCATTACTTACTTGTGGAGCTGGATATATAGAAAACTCCAGCTTTGATTTTTTTCCATAATCAACTGATAGACGCTCCATAAGCAACGATGTAAATCCCGAGCCAGTTCCTCCGCCGAATGAGTGAAAAACCAAAAATCCCTGAAGACCCGTGCATTGATCGGCCAGCTTACGGATTCGATCCAGCACAATGTCCACAATCTCTTTGCCAATCGTGTAGTGACCACGAGCATAGTTGTTAGCCGCATCTTCCTTGCCAGTAATCAACTGCTCGGGATGGAACAGCTGGCGATAAGTGCCAGTACGCACCTCATCAACAACAGTTGGTTCTAAGTCCACGAAAACTGCTCGCGGCACATGTTTTCCGGCACTAGTTTCGCTAAAGAAAGTATTGAAGGAATCATCGCCGCCCCCAACTGTTTTATCAGAGGGCATATGACCATCAGGCTGAATGCCATGTTCCAGGCAGTATAGCTCCCAGCAAGCGTTACCAATCTGAACGCCAGCTTGTCCTATATGAACTGAAATGCACTCCCTCTGCAAGCCAAAAAATTAAGATTTAATATAGAATTACAAATTAGCAGTTCAGTAGACCGTGTCAGGTCGTAGGTGTGGGTACATTTTTGCGAGTATTTTATGCACTGTATGTAAGCATATATATATATATATATATATATATATCAATTATAAATATTCATTCCTGATTTATTATTATTTTATTATTATTTAGATTTCAAATTGAACCACATATTTTTGCACATTTTTACAAAATTTATAAAATATTAAGAATTTAATTTACTATTATTATTTTTATTAAAAATTCAAATAAATTATTCTTTATGTTATGTTGGAATTCAATCTTTAATAGGTAATTAAACAACACTTTAAAAACAACAAAATTATAATTTTGTATATATTTAAAATTATATTGATTTTCAATTGACTTACCATAATTAAGTATTATAGACAAAGTAATAATAGGATCAGAAGCACGAGATATAATTGTCTTTTAAAACAAAGAACAAAAGGCAAGATTCGAAAAAAGGAATCCGGTAATTTCCAAACTTTTGTTCGTAATGAAACACAGCTGGAAATCAACTAGTCGAGACATCTGCTCGGCAAGTCTTTTTATAGTCGAAAAAATTTCTTATATGGGCATTTGCCAAAGCACGATCTGCGAGGGCAGCTTTTTCACTTTGTCGAATGTTAGAAAACGATTTGTTGTTGACTATAAAAGTTCATTGATGCGTTTAATTCAATGTTTGTAATTAGTAAATGTGATAGTATAATTTACACTTATGTATTTATAATTCAATAGTAATTAACGAAGCATCAAATAAATCCACAGGTTTCAATAAATAAGAAATTTATTCTAATAGAGCTTTTACTAACATCTAGCTTTAAGACAATAATGTTTAAGAATCTAAAATATTTAGCCACACATAAAATGTATTACGTTTGATGATGTAAGACTTAAAACTAATTTACTAATTATTATTCATATTAAATAACTGTATGGCAGAGTTTCTTACATACAATGAGCTGAGTTAATGAATACTTGATTACATATCCGATTCTCTATATATAAAATTCTTTTTACATATGTATATATAGACTTTCTCTTTCTAAAATGTGCTACAAACGCCACTCTTGGAATATGGGCTCCGCTATCGGTATACCCATTAAAAATCTAAAATAAAAGTAACGCTTAACTCGATCTATAGAAGAGCTCAAAACTAATCCAGCTCACTAATGTGGTTTCTGCAGCTTTAAAACAACCTCCCGTTCTAGAATAAAGTCAACATTTCTATTCTCTTGTTCCGAAATGAATATATGCTATTTTGAATAATTGAAAATTTTTTTAAAAAGAATACAGTTCATACAATTTTAAACATTAAACTTATACTTGAGAACACCACGCCGTTCTCTAGCATAAATCTGGTTTTTCACATTGTACTTACAAACAACAACATAATTGTGGCTCTTCGATTTGTTAACGGTTGAGTTGAAATAAATAAGCATATTGATCTAGCTGTATTAAAACAATTTCGAAGTTTTACATCCCTTTCGAACCATTTAATTAAATATTTAAAAAAATATTTCTTTCTTATAATTGCTCTATTTAAGCGAAGTCGTTCTGGGCTTATCAGTCTGCTATCATCTCACAAACCACAAAAGCTAGAGACTTGAATTTTAAATATTCCTGGATACAATACGCAATATGAATTCATCATACTTATGTATATGTATTGCTCGATAGGTTATCCTGTTTCATTATTATCGATAAATATCGATCCTGTAATTCCTGTAATGGAAAAATAATATAATTTCAACCATCTATTAAATAAAACATATCAATGCCTTTTGAAGACTGCTGTATTTCAAACTTGGCAAACCTAAACAACACTTAGAGCTCCACTTTTTGATTATGCTGGCATCAGAATATAATCTTAAAATAAAACCTTCGCTCTGGATATGGAACTACCATGTAACTTCACAGCTTCACAGTTGGTTTTATGTGACTTTGTAGGGGCAGAACGACAAAGATTTTAGTTATCCTTAAGAAATCCGTGTTGTACCCTTCTTTATAAAGCATAATTCTAACGCCCTTTGGTCAGCCAGAGCCCAGCATAAGTCCTCTTATACGTTGCTATTCGGAAACACCGTGTAGTCTTATGTTCTACACTTGCTTACTAAATTGCCCAAATCTGTACAATAAGTCAATTGCCTATTAATGATAATACTGTTGTTCAAATATTCATTTTTATTAATTAATAAATATTCATTTTTATTAATTATAATTGTTTCACGTTTTTATTTCTAAATGCGTATGTCTAGTTGATATTGACATTAGAATCCAGTCTGCCAAAATAAATAAATAATACCATCATAACATTTGGAAATTACAAGCCTTTGACTAGACATTCGTCGATAATTGAGATTAAGAATATGATTTGTTCTTTAATTTTTTTAGGAATTCCTTTGCCTGCTTATCACCTTGTCTGTACTCCAGAGCTCGTATTGAGAGCGAATCTTAAACAAAAATTAAAAAAAAAAAAACATTTAAATTTTAATTTCAACTTATTTAAATTAATTCTGTTACCTGTATACTCTGGTCGACATAGATTGATAAGAATCTGCTCGCCTTCAGATGCGCTAAGATCTGCAAACGTTATATAGCATTCGGCTATATATTGACTTGTCATTCCAAATAAATCTTTATCCTTAATACAAAATAAAATCAGGCTGTCTTCCATCTGGCGTTGTTCTGCATTCAAATGACTAAAGCACATATTTTTTATATATTAAAATCTTGTTAGTTTTCCATAGGCAAAATTTACTCACATGCGAAATTGTTCATCATAAAGTGGAAAACAATTTTTATTATGAACGGCAGTTTTTACTGGTGTAAATCCATTAAATCTTGCACTGGGCATCATGAAGACTTTGACGAACGAATCACATAATCCATTCTTATCCATAGATACCAAATTTCGAGCATTTAATATATTTAGCTGAAATTAAAGCAAATTGTTAATGATTTTATCATGTTTAGCCAAATTAAGTCGTCTTGGATGTAAGACCTGATAAAACTGACAAACAGATCTAACATGATCATTATTGGCTGAATTCGAAGCTTTAACATGCCGATTCAACAAAAACAAGTAAGAGTGCTGTTGTCGGAACAACCCGACTAGAATATACTATGAACCCAGCAAATTCAAATGATCTTTGCTTATCGATAATACGAAAATTAGATGGGTTATCGAAAACTAATGATAATCTCTTACTGCGTATGGCATACAGGAATATATATTTTAAACTGCAAGTCTAGATTTTGTCAGTTATGAGCCCGCTGACTGCACACGGACATGGCTAGATCGCCTCGGCGTTCTGTTAAAGAATATATATACTTGACTGTTATATATTTTATATATTTTCAAAAAAACATTATATATGTGAATATTGGCATCAAATGCCGAAGCCGATGAATAATTTTATAAATTGCAAAAATTGCAGTAAATGGCAAAAATAGTATATTTATTGTCTATTATATAAAAGCCCATCACTCAAATTCGTATATCCAACAAGATAATACTCACGAATAATCCAGAATCTGTAAATTGTGCGCTTATTGTGAGCTGTCCAAAACGTGATGTCGCTTGCTCTTTCTGATATCTAAATCGTTCTAAGTAGTATTGATGAATAAGATCGGCAGTTTCAAGTGCATGTAGCTCGAGTGTGCTTTCGATTTCCGATAAAATTTTAACATCGGAAGTTTTTGTATCGCCAATTTTAAAGCAAGATATCATAGTGCGAAGGGTATCCCTTAAGTTTTGAAAGAATGCGGGGGGACGGCGTTTCTAAAAGACAAAAAAATAATAAAAAACAAATTAACTGGGCTTAAACCATACTTACATCAAGATTAGATTGTATAAGATCATAGATTATTATTGACAGCTCTCCCCAAATACTATCCAAAACTCTTTCAAAGTTGACTTCATTGAGAGTATTATAAAGGGTTCCCAATGATCCTTCCAAGTACATCATCAGTCTTTCCATGGAATTTGAGTCCTTATGGAGTACTTCAGCTCCTTCTGTTAAAAATCGCTTAATGGACGGAGACATCCTGTAGGCAACGTTTTCGATGAGCTCAACAATTTGATTACGCTGTGTATCAAGGGCGTTATCAATAACAGCTTTAATAGTATCGGCACATCGCTCGGCTTCTAGATTGGTTCTGTAGTCTCCTAAGCGTCGTATCACAACATCTGTACCCAGCTCCTGAAAGTATATATTTTTATTGACAAACATGATAAAATCAAACATTCTTAAATAATACCTACCTTTATAAATGAGGGTAAACTTTGACGGATGTAGTCCATATTATTAATAGCCAAACACCATTCCTCTGATAAATCTACGATTAAAAGAAACACAAAAGGGTAAAAACAGTAATTAAAAAGCTCCTTAAATAATTAACTTACTAAACATAACTCCATCCTCCTCCATTTTAGTTATAGTTTCCACTCGGCGAGACATGCGCTGTGCATAGAAAACACAGCATCGGCATATATCCTGAAAGAGAGACATAATCAAAACACATTTTTTATAATAAACTTTTGGAACTTACATTAACAATTTTGGCTACAAAGGTATATGACCCTTCTATCTCTGGCCAATCCAGTTGTTGCCAAAATATTTTAATCTGGTAGAAAATCGCCAAGGTGTCTACCGCAGATGAACTATACTTAACAGTTTCATCGACAGCGTGGAGTTGGTCTAAATCAATAGCTTTCTGAATGCGATTTAGCGCCTTAATAATTGAAATATCAAGCCAATGAGTTACTCCTCTCTCAAACCATTGATAAAATTCAGTCATCTCCAGTGTACAGTTGGGACAGAGCGATTGTCCTGTAAAATAAAGAGCAACATTAATAAAAGTTGATTAAAGAGGACGGATGTCGTGAAATATATTCACCTAGAGTATTATATCGTTTAAGTACCAAATAAACTTCAAATAACGTTGTTCCCATATTAACATTATCAATATTCGGCAAATATTCAAACTGATCATCAGGAACATCTAACATTTTTATGTTGGAACACACTTGTTTTACAATAGCTTTGCAGATTTCCATCAGCTTTGAATCGTAAAACAGAAATAGTGTAGTGGAATAGTTAACTCGAATTTTGCTGAAAGACAAAAACATTTATGTAATAATTACAGCATATTAATATACATTAGAAGTTATAAAAAAAGTATGTATCAAAGAAATTCTTAAACAAACCAAGCGTCCATTGATGGATTACCAAAAACCATTAAATAATCTGAGATCTTGCTGAGGATCTTAAAAGAGCATGATATGAGTGTAAATATCCCAGCCCAAGTCTCATCTATTTGAACTTTTTTATGAAGATTCTTGGATTAGCATTAAAGATTAGAAATATACTATAAGTGATATACCATAATAATTTACTTACTGGTAGAACAATTTATCAAAGTATTCCATTGCACGTTGTAGATCTGAACGAACCATTTGTATTATTTTGATTACACTCTGCAATTTTTCTTCGTCGGAATCATGATCTTTCGTTTGACTGCCGACTTCCTTAATTTGCTCCATCCATTCTTTAGCTCCGCTATTAATAGCGGCAACAATAACGTTATCGATAGTGTTGGATTTCTCAGAGTCTTCGGTTTCTATCCAACCATAGACTGTTTTAGGAAATATGTCTATTGTAGCTGGCACCTCAAATGTTTTGAGTTTCGACAGAATGTCTAATACTTCACTGAGAGTCTTTAGAATTTTATTATCACTGACGTTCTTGGAGCGTAAATGTCTTAGGATTGCAAAACAAGACGGTAATAGTCGCTTAGCACCCTCCCAGAATGTTTTCACATCCTCAGAATCGTTTTGCAAAAAGTTGATTACTGGAACCAGAACATCGAGTATTGAATTGAAGAGGACGAAATTAAGTTTATGAGTTTCATGCACAGTGCTGTACGCATGCCATTGGCTAAGGGCGCAATCAAAGGGCGAAAGGCCACTCTGCACGGCGTGTTGCGTTCTAATAGCTTCAGCCATCGCACCAAATTTTCCGCTCCACCAATACTTGGCCACCTGAGACGAATCCAGCTCGTGTACCAGTAGCAATTTCAAAAGGTGTTTATGTTCTTGACTTGCAACATTCTTATTTTTTTCGGCACTGAGAGCAATGTTGACTAACACCGATCCGCGGCTTTTCGTTTTACTCCCTTTTTCCAGATTATACCAAACGGTAAGTCCAGAAACTGGAATAGACTGTTTAAAGTTAAAACGAGTTATTAAATTAAATTAATAATTCTTATTATATTAAATAATGTCTTAATTTTAAGCAAATCCTGAGCACAGATGAGTCAACGACATGTGCAGATGGTCTATCTGTTAAATGGGCCATAAACTCAAATTTTACTTGGACAAAAAGATAATTAATAAATATACAGTTTCATTTTGAGCTTTTATTATAAGAAAAATTAATTTTCTAAATTCTGAACTACTAACATGGGCAGATAAATGCTCACTCATTAAAAGTGCAAAAGCACTCTTAGGGCTTCATAAAGAATCGGTATAGCTATTTGTTACTCCAACTAATAAATTAATTAATGTACTCTACCTTAAGTGAAATCATTGCACGTCCAATTAATTCATTGTCGTGCTTTCCAGACGAGGCGGTGACGGCAATTTCTTTCATAAGCTTGCTTAGCCCGCGTACGCCTTTTACATCCAGGAGTTTATTGACCTTGTCTTTGACAGTTTCCGCAGCATCAAAGTCCCTATTAAAAAATAGTTTTATTGCATTAATCTTGCATTTCGTTAACTACAATATTAATATGTAAAATCCAACTGTAAGTTAGATGTTAGAATTCATTAAGCTTTTTTTAGATAATCCCAATCGTAATATATTTTTGCGAAAATCTAGTTAGGGCATAATTTATTTTCTTAAACAAGCAGCAAAAGAATGAGAACACATTCGCTGTTGTTTGATTCATAGTATTTTTTTTTAATTATACTAACAGATTTTCATGAAAATTATGAAAAGATTAAAAATAATAATACTACTAAATAAACAAAGTATTTTAAATTTAATACGCGTTCAAAGAGACAATTGACATTACAGTCATAACGCGTCATCCGAATTTAGAATGTAAGTACTTTATAGCATCGTCTACCTGTTACACAAATCTATTGTACCCTGTTCCCCCACTTTTAAAAAGTTCATTATATCAAATATAACATCTGTTGACAATATATTTCTTTGAATAATATATTTCTATGTATTCAACTAGTAGGTGAGCCTAGTTAAATAATTAAATAGATTGCTTCGCTTTAATTTGAAAAGTTTACGAAAAACCATTTCAATTCTATTAAATTTTAGAAAGACTCGCAAAATACATTAGTGTAACTATCTGGTTTCAAGTTCTTTAAGACGAACAAATACAGTGATTCCTGGCACTTGGCCATTTCAGATATAAAAAAACAAGCAAGAGATTGGTTTGCATAGAAACAGATGACTCGAATCTATTGAAAACTATGAAAAGCGTAGTGTATTTTTTTTGTTTATTTAAGTGAATTTGAATTGATTTTACCTTATTAAAAAAATACATAAAAAAGCATAAAAGAAACCCTCAGAAGATGCTCATAATTTATTCAAAAAATTGTAAAATAAAAAAATATAAATTAAATACATAATCATTAATTAGTTTGCCAACTTACCAAACTTCAATAATGAGAACTTCATCACGAGGACCTTCAGTAATAGGTCTAGAAAAAGTAAATAAGTAAATAAATTTAAGCTCATTTAGCTGGTAATATAATTTAGTTAATATCATCAAGAAGATAACTTTAAATTTAAGTTTAAATGGCTCATACAAGAAACTAATTCGAGAAGTTAGCTTTAGTACGAATACTCACAAAGAGAAATGCTCCTCCCATATTGGATTCAAGGTAGACGATTTTACGGATGAGTTATAACGATGAGAGATGTTTGATTCCAAGTACAATGTTACGAACGGATCAGATAATCCATTTGAATCCATTGGCAGTAAATTCTCTGCTTTAATGACTTCAACATTAAGCCTTAAATTAGGTGGTTCCTTCTTCTTTGCAATTTCAGAAATTTCCAAATGGGTTGCATTGGGAATTTTGAATACCTCCTTTGCAAACTCGACCAGGCTTTCTCTACAGGCATCACTACTCTCACAACCAATATTATTGTAAATTTCGAATAGGATCTCCTCGTATAAGTCGTCAATCTAAAAGAAAGACATAATTAAGAAAGTCATATTTGTTTCCTGACGGTGATCCCTATATCCGATTAAATATCATTAATATTCAAATATTCTATTTCTACTATCTGAAATTGAGACTGCGTCTACAGACGAATTTGTTGGATCTATTCAGCCCGTCGTATTGAACAGGATTATATATAATTTTTGAGACCGCAGATGCTTTCACCTACCGAATACATTTACATATTAATTTTACTGTCAATACCATCATAAACAATACTGCATCTATAAGTATATTTCATAAACTCATTCTGAACGTATCAATCTCAGAATATACAAAAGCTAGCGACTTAATATTACAAGTATTCGGCCAATTTCAGTTTATTATTAGTAAAAATAAATATTTGTCTTTAGTTCTTAAGCATAACTCGAACACAATAAAAGCCACGCACACTGCATATATGTATATAGAGGTTATCGTAAAGTATACAAGATTATAAATATTCATCCATGCGTAGCAATAATTGAAAAAACAAAAATCTTTTAAATGTTCTTAAATTTCTGCAAGCACACGTTGCTGGATGGTCGAAAACTAAATATCGAAAAATAAACACCGAAGTGACTGCATAAGTAATTTCCCGCAATGTAGAGCTGCGAAAAAAATAAACGGCGATTCCTCTGTGCGAAAAAATATGTGTTTGTGTGTCTGGATGTACTTTTGTTTATATTTGAATTGAAGAACATTTGAAAGTTTTAAACAGCAGTCCAACACGGCGGTCAGGACATTTCCTGATCTGGTTGGATTTGCGAAATGTAAGTATTATGATTTTCCAAACGAAATGAAAGAATTTGATGCAAACTTAGAAATTGCGGTTAAATTTCAATTAAGAAATTAAGTCGTTTATTCTAAAAATATTTATATTAAAATTGAAAATGGTTTTTTTTTTGTAAAAAACTTTTTCAAATGCTAGTCTTTCTAATACTTAAAGTTTAAGATTCAGACTGTAAACAGAATCAATAGAAACTACGATTAATAGAAATTCTAAGATACAACTTTAAAGCCTGAAATTCTTTATAAGCCCGTACTACTGCATTGAGTTTTCTTTGATGGAGAAAATACTAAAACAACATGAAATCTGAACATCTTCCTTCTGCCTGTTGCACATACACTTGCAGAAAAGCTTAAATCTATATTCATATACTGACAAAAAATGCAACTAAGTTCAGTTCTCTAAACATCTATCAAATAATTCATGAAATAACAAAATGAATTTTAAGCAATTTACTTACAGTCATAGAATGACAAACTTCTTTTGCGTGAGACTCTAATAAATGCTTGTGCACACCGCGGAAATACTGATTGGATATACTTCCATTTCTGTTTAGAATCCGCTTGCGTCGCTCTGCCGTTTCATTTAAGGACAGAGTGGAACACACTTTTTGGATGGGGCGCGTCTCATGACCCGCTGTTCGATTTAAACTTAAATAATTTGAACTTTTATCGGTTGAATTTCGTGAGGTCATATTGGACAGCACTCGGGGCAACGATAAGTAACTCATTTTTGAAACACAAATTTGTGAAACTATACAGAATTAATTTATAAACATTTTTGCACTTTTATTGGTGAACGATATGAAGAGTGCATAAACTTATTTCCCGTCTATATTATGGATCATTGTAGAGCTATAATATATTCGCGTATATATTATATTATTATATGACCATTTCCGCTATCCGCTTGGGTTTGGTGGGTGTCAAGATGTCCCTGGAGCAGTACCACTCTTAAGTATATGTAAATCGAAAGCCCATTAACAGTGTCAATGCCGCGAATAAAGATTTTTTACAACTAATCACGCTGACCGTGAGCTGCTTTTGGGTGTGTATGAGCAGAATTCGTTTTCGAGATTGTTTTCTAAGTATCTCACAAGATAAAGAGAGAAGCAGAATTATATAGTAGTGCTTTAGCAAATGTTTTATTTTTGGAACTTTGAAAAAAGCTCAATGATTATGAACGTATGTGTATTCAAAGTATTGGGGAAAGCTATGCACAGCAAGTGAATGAATAAATGCTTTTTGTGTACATACACACAATTTGTGTGCACACAAACATTCTATGTAGTACAGATAAGTAGATACTAATGCAAACAAGTTTATAGACTGTTCAGTTCAAATTGTTTATAGTTCGTTCCTATGGTTAATCTAACAAAGGGACAAGCACAACCTAGCTTCTTCTGCTTCTCTATTGGTGCTCATTGTAAACAATTTACAAATACCCCAACCATGGATAGTATCTTAAAAACTTAACTATATGTTATATATATATAGCACATATTTAGTAAATACATATATACATATATATATAGTTTCAAGGTATGAATGAATTCATTTTGTTTTCATTCAAAATATTTATAAAGTTGAATGAAATCTGCAGTTGGTATGTAAAAACTGCTGTTTATACCCTGTACTCTTCGAAAAAAGAGTTGAATGGACTCACACAAGTGTATTTAACGCGCAAAAGTAAGCACACTGAATCTTATTTAGTAAACATATTCCACTGCTGTATAAACAGGCAATCCAGTTACAAATTTAAATAGTTGAGGTAGGATTTCCTCTAATTCTATGTTTTATGAATTTATCATTTAAATGTTTCCTTTGGCACAGAACAAATTTTGGACTGATCGGAGAATAAAAGGAAGATGTGAATATCCCAGCGTATCCATAAATCAATAAATATTTCAACTTCATAAAATATATTAGGGAGTGTTGTCTCCTAATCCACGCTCTTTTTTTAAATAATAAGTAAGGGTGACACTAGACGCAGCGTCGATCGAGACAACGTTTCAAATATTGTTGTAAGCTGAAACATTCAGGAATACGGTAAAAATCAATATGATTCCTCGAACTCTGCTAACTTTTTCGAATAATCTACAGACAAAAACCAAGTTTACGCTGTCTATTCAGCTGAGAGGACTGAATCAAACCAACTGTTGGCTCTTCTCTGGAACACATATACTTAATAGAGTCCGCCACGTTACAGTCATTAAAACACATATAATATCCTCAATTGAATAGTTTTCTATAATTAGAATTTGCCACTTTATTCATGTTTTACCTGCATTACTGTACGTTCAAGATGAAATGCTTCATTTTTTTAAGTGCTTTACCTTGGAAATTTTTTGGAAAATACCTAATTAAATACATTATTTACTCTTAAATAGCATTACTTCTTTATCATATAAAAAGAAAGACTAATTTAGGCGCGAGTGCTTGACTAAGAAATACCCGAACCCGAACCAAAAACACACACCAGATCAATGTGAGAATTCTCACATTCACTTGAGAGAAAGCTGTTTTAACAAGTTGAATCGATATTTTATGAAACTCGAACTGATTATGCATATAGCTTAAGTTAAATATACTTACATTCATACAAACATTTTCTTTTATATTGTCGACGGAAACTAAGTCTGGTTCGCTGCTCAAGGTGGAAGTATCGAAACTCTCATTATCATCTATTTTTGTCTCCAGTCCACTGTCTGTGCAGGATCCATCGTTAACCTTTGTAATAATACTCTCGTTTTCTTCTTCTTCTTGCCCTTCCTCTTCGGAAAATGGAGCCAATGAAGTTTTAAAAACATTTTCATCCAATTGAGATTTCTGTCTCAAAAAAGATCCAAACTTTTCAAAAAAACCATCGTCCCCATCCTGGAGTCTGCAAAAAAAACAATTCAATATTTAAATTTTTAATACATTTATTTTTTCTTCTTGAAATATATAAAATATAGTGTAGATTAGAAAAATATAATTTATGAAATTATTAAGAATATAAGGGAAAATTGGACTATACATTATTGCAAATGCTTATCGTCCTCAACGCAACCATTATCAAAGATAATTTCTTTTTTTTTTTTTTGATAAGCTATTGTCTTTTAAGTGTTTTAGATAGTAGCTCAATTCCACTTCTCCCCCTCAGCTTTGCTTCTCTTTTAAAACAAATAATAAAGACTTCAGAGAAATCTTAAAAATATATGGAATGTACAATTTTTTTTTTTATTAAAATTCTTTACTAAAAAATTACACTTAGATTATGTGTTCATATAATTAACTCACATTGTTTGATAACATTAGTTTTTACTACTAAATATTATAATTTGGCTTTTGTCCGAACAAAAATCATATTGTATTTAGCTTGTCTTATGTAAGATATGATGGATCAACTAAACTTGTGATCCGAATCATTAATATGAGTTCTACATTTTCTACTCAACAGCATTTCCATTAATTAGAACAACTGTCGAAACTCATGTTTCGATCTAATGATCTATAACTGATCTTTAAATTGAATCAAAAACATAGAGTCCCAGCTTAACTTTCTTTCAGTATTGAACCAATCTTCTTTTTATTTTATTAAAAGTAGATAATGGATTTAGGCCAAAAGGCAAACACATACGCCCAAAAATAGTTATTCTTAGGACAAAAAGTGTATGTATAGAAATTCTTATGCATGTTGTCACATATATTATCGTATAGGCTTTTGAAGTATATTCAACACTCTTTTTTGGCTTCCATAAAATAGATTCTGTGTTGAGTGTCAAAGTCACGGAAAGCTTTAAGAATTGTAGGGACTTGAATACCAGATACAATTTCTAGTATGACCTTTCGCATGTAGCGCAATTGAAAAGCAAAGAAATTAGTCGCTTGGCTCAATAGGACAACGGGTCAATGCCATTTAGCTTATTTTTATTCCTCGAATAAGAGAGTTTTGCGCACAGCCGAAACTTTCTATTGATTTACAAAATATGCAGTTAATCGATGCTTAAATTCAACATTTAGCGATAATACTTAATATCACAAAATTGTATAACTTTGATTTGAATTGAAATTTGAAAGCCGAATGGCCTTATAACTCTTAGTTCCAAGCATCGACCTCTTCTTCTAATATTCAGACAAATTTCTAATCATATTTTGTTGCTTGTTCCCTTTAAAACACTTTTTTTATTAGTATTAAAAAAATAAATATGTATTTGTTATTGTCGCCAGTTGCACTATAAGACTTTTTCGAAATGCTCTAAAATTTCTTAAGTGTTTTGGATACGAAATGTCGTTAAATTAAGTGTCAATAAATTTTAAAAAATAAATACAAATATATTTATTTATTTGGAACAGTAAAATCAAATAAAGATTACAAAACCGTTTAAGAATGCATCATCAAACCCTGCGATTCGTCTCTGTGTAGGTAACTCAAAAGGTGTTAAAAGAAATTTATATAAAAAAGATTCCATTTAATTTAAAGCTAAAGGCATACGAATGAAAAAGGGTAAATGGAGTGTAAATTACGAAGATCTCTACAACACTCTCAAGTTTATCCATTGTTAGTTTTCTATTGAAATTCATTGTTTTCATTGAAATGAGTTTGGTTTAATCAAATGGGTTCAAAGTGGGTCAAATATCAGCTAGTTTCATTACAAGAATTCACATTGATTAGTGAAAATTTTGACGATATCTTTTTTGTTGTACCTATATTAAGGCCTTTGTTTGAGTCCCCCTTTGCAGACATTCGATTTAACAGCTATGTAACTCATAATATATATATGGCATAGTAAATCATGTTTATAGTTTTATCAGTTATTGCAGCTATTGCTGTCATAGTATACATATTTGTTCCGAATCAACACGATCAAAGCTCATGCGTAGCCTGCTCTGGATCAACAGCTAAAACACCTTTGTGTCTGGGCTATTTGACAATATCTCGAGCACTTGAGCAGCTGCTGTAGATGCATGTATTCTTGTCAAGTATAGGCTCTTAATTATAGATATATACATAATCCTTTGACCCCTGATACTATACCCATGCACTTCAAATTTCATGGAGATAAGATTTTAAGTACCATCGTAATTGAAAGAGCTTTTGCTTAGTGGCCTGGGAGGAAGAAAAAGAAGACTACGAAACGCGTTAACTAACTATATTTATGTTTACATATACATACATATTTATGTACATATGTACATACACACATATATATGATACAAGCTAGAACAGCAGCTAACTACGGTGGGCCACAGAGTATTTGTTAGCAGGGGGAAGTCCCTTGGACCGGAACTGTTAGCTGATTTATACTTAATTATTCTTAAATTAGATAAACATGATTTACTCTTCACTATAGTAATGCACGAAATCGTAATATATTTCTTTATATAAGTATATAACTAAGCGCCACTCCAATTTATTCTAAGTGTGTATCTTTATTTACACTACTATTTGCTATCGATTTATGTCAAGACGTATATTACCTATTGTCTCCACATATTAATATAGACTGAGCACAGTGTTGTCTAATATAGTTAATGCGATCCAGAAGCTTCATTTGCTCTTAATTTACGTTTATCTTTGTATATTTGTAACAAAACTCTTCATATTTTCTAGCGATTTCGTCAATAAACAGCCAAAAAACAAACGCAGACACCACGACCTTTTGGCTAGAACTGTTTGAGCAGTAAGAGCTTTGTACGTTAGCCGCTCGAAAGATAGGGCCAAAACATACAAATACAAACGCATGAGATATACCAACACTATCGTCACTTACATGTGTGCGTAATGTCTTCATGGTTCATGATTTTGAAGATATGTATACCTGCATTTACGGATGTATGTTTGAATGGTATATGTATATGTTTGTATATGTGCATGCACCTAATTATCATAAACAAGCTCAACCATAGTGAAAACCCATTTTCGTGAACCGTGTTGCTGCCAACCCTTAATAACAAAAACAATATCAACATACGCATACAGAGCACGCACAAGAGTGCACTCATACATACACATATACATACATGCATACCTAAAAGAACTGTATATTAGTGCATCAAAGCACGAATGCATCGACCACGAAATCAGAAACTACATGCACAGTTATATGTTACACACAAACATACAAACATACATACATACATATATTCGTGTGTACATACATATTTGAGTATGTATATCTATAGCAAATAGCCATAGTTTTTACTGTTCGGAGTTTCGCAGGTCGAAAGCTCCCTATGAGACTGCATTTTGCGCCCATACAAAATAAGAGTGCTCATAGTAACAAGTAACAGGCTTGAAGATACCCTGTACACCGTGCCGAGAGAGTATTTATAGCTTAATTCTTACTTAATTCCTTACATACACAGAAAAGCACATACAATAGGAAATGCTTAACTAAATAGAGTTCTTTGGTGTTTGTTATGCGATGTGAGGCATTCTGGAGTAAAATTTGGACATGGAGTAAGATATTCGCACAGTTAAGTATTCGTCATAGTTATAAAATGTTATGGTTTTCAAACCTTACCTTAATCAATTTTCAATTTAGCGTGTATCGATCTATGCACATAAAACTAAGTCTCAAAAACTACTTTTGTCAATGCTTTTAAATTGAGATACAAAATAGGGACATACTGAAATTCTTTGAAATCTAAAATTCTTTAAAAACTTACGGAGTACTAAGACTATATGAGCCTATATGAGTTTGACTATATGAGTTTGACTGCAAGTCGTTTCGACCCTACAAGTTCTAGAGAATTGTTCGAAACATACTTGTGTAAACTGGAAATTACTATATCTTTTACAACGTTGTTGAAACTGGAGATATGAAGCTAATAAAACCACTGTTACTGTTAGATTACTTTCTATATAAATAGAATTGATAGTAAACCCGTTGACTTCAACCAATGCAATTTAATTGATATACGCAAAAACGCCTTTTAACTACAACACCTGCTTTGCAGTACAGGTAGCCTCTGGATTTGCTGCCAACTGTTACCACTCCAAGGTTGAAATCTTCCAAAGATGTCTAAGATTTTGTTAAGATGTTATAAAACATCAAGTTTTACGAAGAGACCATAAAATACTCTAAAGCTGCTTTTTGAAACGAGTCTACAGAGGAAAGAGATTGATCTCTGCACATACTGCTATTCACCCAAGTTTAACTAGTTACATAAAGATTTAATCTTTCAACTTTTCAACAAAATAATAATAATAATTTATTTTAATATATAATAAAATGAAAAAAAAAAAATTTGAAAGAAAAACGAAAATAGAATTCAACATTAAAAACAATAAAGATATATGATCAATACTAATTTCAAATGTTAATGATTTTAGCTGTATAAGATCTCAACTCTCTCATCTCTCTCGTCACTCATCATATCATCCTGATCAACAGTATAATACTCTTTCATGGAATCGCCCGCTACATACATTTTGATATAACCATCATACCCCAACAATCCATTTCTACTGAGACTTTGGGTATAAAGGCAGGCAAATAAATGATTGTGATGCAGCATGCCATCTCATCAAGACATGCTTATCTTAATTAAGAATGTACTCATTTGGCACTGTTAGCCAAGATTCACATTTCAACTGCTATTTGATTTGTAAGGCTACATATGGGTACATACATAAAGTGTCTTTTTTTAGTCGATAGAAATCGATTTCTAGAGTAAAACAACACAGCTATCACAAGCAACGAAAACAATGTTTAGTATCATCTTTAGTTGCGTGAACTGAACTAAATACATAACAGTTAGATAAAAAGATAAATGAATATCAGCCGATGAAGATGATAATATCGATAGTTATGAGCGAAAGCTATTCCATGGGTTTTGTAATTGTGATTTAAATGTAATAAATACGCCGAATGAAACCAGGCCTACACAAATAAACCTATATATCTATATATTTATATATATATACATATATACATTTATATATGTAAATATAAATACGCACATATGTATGTGTATATGTGTCTATGATTAGATGTGTCATTGTATATAATGTTGGCATTCTGACTTCGGTCTCGTTGTTTAGCTATCGCAAGATCATGCTTATATGCAATATAAACATATATAAGTAATATTACTTATGTTATACATTTAAAGGTTTATATACTCAATTTCCATTTATATATATAAATATATAGTTTATAATTAGTTGCCTGATTAACATGCGCTTACCATATACCGAAGTGGGTACATATCAAATTTTGAATAGACTGATTCATACTACCCTTGGTGCATTACATATACTCATGTATTTTACAACTGTATATTGTGTACTCACTGATGTTGATGCTCTGTGGGTGGATTATTATTAGTTTCTTGTAATTTATTGAAAATCCCTTTCCACATTTGCTCCTCGTCCATTTTAAAGTTGAGTATTCAGCGAAATTACGAAAAAACAAACAGCTTGCGAACAACACTCAAAGCTCCGAGACAGTTTGGCAAGAACTAATGAGAAATCTGCGTTGCCTTGCCGCTTCTCTTAATCCAATGACGCACCTCACATACATTCATACATGGAAATAACATTAGTAACGTGTTTGCGTTCCACATTTACAGCCCAACAGCAGCGCAAAAGCTTTCTCCGTAGTTTCCAAAAAGCCGGAACACTCAGATAGGACTCTAGCCAACTTAAGTCCGACGAAAACTATTACAAATAGTTTTAATTTCCAGAAACCTTAATAATACAAAAATCTTACATCCATTTCTCTGTTGAAAATGAGAGTATTTATTTAAGCTTTTATACTCGTTCACGATCAAGTAAAAAGAGTATATTGATTTCTTTGAATGTCCATTTATATAATATAGATAGAATATAGATAGATATAATAATATAGGATATACCACCAATAAGCTTGTCATCATTTACTACTTGGCGCTCCAAATTACTATATTAACTTCAGTATGAACCCCATTACATTTCTAAATGGTATATCCAATCCCCGTGAGCGTAGCAAACTGTATAAAGCTAGTTTCCCATAGCCTTACAGAGAAGATCACCTAGACTAAGATAACATAACATAACATAACATAACTGGATAAGACTAATTGCTATGGATTTCCCCATATGGAAAACATCAAACTTTTTTCAAATAAAATTTGAACGTTTTTAAATCGTGAACGAGTATTTGGCAGTCGATTACACCCGCGGGTAAAGTTACAAATTATTTTTATAGTCATCTCTCTCCTTAAATTACTTGACTTAAAAAAAAAGAATCTGGGATCGAAATCGTAATAACAATCATAATTGCTACAGAGGCTTTTGGTAAAATAAATAAAACAAATTATACAGCATACACTTAAGAAAATATCAGCAAGGTAAGGAAACACTAAATACAAAATAAATAATAAATTAAATAAAAATGGACTCCTCAATTATTTAATTTACAGCTTTTGCATGACTCATATACCTTTTAGTCTTATATATTGTCGTGAAAATGAAGAAATATAAAAGTCTATAAACATTCAATTCAATTCAATTTGATGTAATTTAATTGAATGTAATTACCTCAAATGAATGTAACTCGACAAAAATTACTAGAAAAGACAAAGTTTTGCCTAGATCATCGGAGCTAATGAATTCAACTGCCATTTTTTTTAATGGATAACTGGGATATAATATTAAAGGAGGCTGCTACTGCAAAATTTGAAAGTATAGCGGCAATGAAGTACAAACCTTTTCAGATCACATCTATATGAATGCGACGCGTTCATTCTTATGGAACGTCACTGACAGGCAGGGCTAAGCCGACTGAGTGCTTGATAAGTAATTATACGTATAATTGTTATCAGTCAAGTTCATGTTTAAAGTCAATTGTAATCAACTGTCACAACAGGTTACATCTGCACAGTCGTGGAACGTGCATTTCGTAAACACAGTGGGAAAGCGGTAAAAGCTACAATGCAGTTTGCGTGCTTGTTTGTGAGCTATGCCATTCTATTTTCGAAATATCTACTTTGGGTTTGGTTCGATTTTCAAGAAAATTTCAGAGCATGAGTGAAAGGAGTGAAAATCTGTTTACTGTGTATGCACGTTCTAATTATTTGCGATTGCATGCCGACAAATCGGCGAAAGGCTCTATAAGTGCAATTCAGAACTCTACAAAATGCCCATTTATTTTATTGACACAGGACTTAAAAAAACCGACTAGCAAACCTGGGTTTGATGGGAAGCTCTTCCACAAATTTCTTATTTGAAATTCGCTATGAAATATTTTATTATCAGAATATTTAAGTATTTCATGTACATTTTAATATATTTAAATTGATATCAGTGCTGTTGAAATTGAGGCAACAATGGGTATAATGAAAATTGTAACTTTAATTATTTCACATACTCAGTTTACACTTTATATAGATGAAAATAAGTTTTATAAATATTAGCAGTGCAGCTACAAGGAATGAATCAAGTAAACCCTTGACTTTAAATTGTGTACAAATCGATTCAATAAAATTTGATGAACCGTTTCAATGAAAGCGTCAATCGATTTATATAAATATAATAAATTACATAAAAATGTTATCATATCATTGTAGTTAAACCTAATTATCGGTTGTTGGCTTTATTTTCAGCTTAATTTTATCTTTCTGATTTACTGCTTGTACACACAATTTTTTAAAAAATCTTAAACATGAAATCAGCGAATCTTAGGTGCACACATGCATGAGGATTCTATATAACGTCCGTCAGACATCAATCAAATTTGTTTTTTCCCGCAGCTCAGTCCTTAATAGTCATTGTTTCGCATTCTATCATTTTCATTTGCCTACAAAAAAGACTTATTTATTACATTTGAATTATACTTTAAAGATATTACATACTTTTGGTAAATCCCTTGATGTTGACAGTTCAGTTCTAAATCGGACGTCACTTTTCATTTGTTCATTGAAATCCCTCTTATTTATTCTGGTTTTAGTTGAATGGCTGTGTGGATGGTCGTCTCTTCTATTGTTAGACACATGGCGAGCTCCAAAATGATTTTCTCTATCATTTTGCACATTTTCCCTATCCTTTGATACATAATCGCCGCTTAATGTTCGCTGACAATCAAAACCCCTTCGATAGTCGCTATAACTACTGTGATAGTTACCAGATACGTTGCCACTTTTATGAATCGGATTCCGGTCACGGAAATTATTTCCACCGGTGAAAAAATTCTTTTGAGTCATATTAATGGTTAAGCTGCGACTGTCTCGGACATCTCGTTCCCTTTCTCTATCTTCATTATCACGGATATAATGTCTGTTGATTGGTACTTGAGCTTGGCTATTGGCATCTGCAACATGAATCGTTTGTCGCTTCGATGAGACTTCCTCTTCTTGTTTCTTCTCGTAATGGGAAAAATCATCGAAAATGGATGTTGAATGTCTATAGGAGTGTAATATTTGCAACACCTCAATGCCCTTGGTATTTGGTATCTCCTGTGTATCTCTTGAGTGCGTCACTGATTTATTGTCATTGTTTTCGAGTCGAATATGTCGAAGCTCTCCATTAGGCACGTCTTTTACATATATCCATTTTACTTTAAACTTCCCCTTCCATTTGTCTTGCGACCAAACGCTGGATGTTGAGTTATAATCCACAGAAGTCATCATTTGTGCCATGCCAGAAAAGTAGCCAGACTTATTTACCGAAAAGAATAGCAAAACATTGCCGCCTTCTTTCTGCCGTTCTTTAAACGCATCATCCAAGCGCTTATTACCATGATCTGTTGAGCACCAGATCTCGTATTTTATACTGCGATGAATGTCATCTTCAGAATAAGACTTTATGACAAAAAATCTGAAAAATAAGATTTATTATTGATTACTCTAGTAAAAATACAGTCTCCGCTAATTACCGTGCGGTTGTTGCTTTATCTAAATCAATATCTGAAGGGTTATAATTATTCTTGTCTTTCAATTCGTCCAATAATATTTGCGGGTCAGCAGTCACCTCTGTAGGTACAGACGCACTTTGTGCAACAAGCGGAATATTTTCATCCCGATTTTCATACTTTAGGTTTTTGTCAAAATCACTACGAGAAAAATTTCCTTTACGATCGTTAAATCTATTCTGTGTTTCGATTGGCGTTGTTCGCCGATTAATTTGCACAGAGGTGCTGCTAGCTTGTCGCGTTTCTTGGTGATGAGCTGGCTGCTGTGCAACCCAGTTTTTGCGATGCTGACCATTCGGAGAAGGTTTAACGTTGCCAAAATTACTGTTGCTGGGCAACCTGTGGCATTCGTCTTTTTCAGGACGTGTACCTGGAGATGGTTCTTCGCTCGTCGTTACAGAAAAATTATGCTCCGAACAGGACAAATCAATTGGTAAAGGCGGGGATGGTACTGGCGGTGGATTACTGTTTGGCAATTCCCATACATTAACATCTAAATTATGTTTCCCCGGTACCATTGGGGGTGGTGGCATGCCCGGACCCTTCTTTTTATGGCTGGAAGCAGTATATATGGTCTGTGTGCGAAAATTATAGCAAAATTACATTTATTTTACAGTTTTAAATCACATCTCACCGTACTTACTTTTGATAATGGCTTTGCTGGTTGCGAAGCTATTGATGCCCATGTTGTCTTTTTTGGCGCAACACTTACTGCATGTATCTTGACATCATCAACAGATTCGCTCGTACGATTGTCCAGTTTTAATGACTGCCCATTGTTGTTTTGATTGATCTACATACATGAAATTTATGATATTTTTTACATTCCTTACTCCGTAATAGTTAAAAAACTAACAAGCATTAAATATATTTAAAATTGTTTTATTGTGTATGTGTCCGATTTCTTTGTCTTTTAATTTCTAGCTTATATACAAAGTTATGAACAATCAATTAAATAGCAAAATGGAACCGCATCTATAATAAATAATCATAGTTTTTCGGGTTCATTTAGGTTTCAAAAGCAATTGTTAAGCCTTCGATAGATATAAAACGTGTTATAGGTATCTGCAGGATCTAATTATCACGGACAAGTTCGGACAAGTAGGTTTCTAAAAATATGACTAGCAGGCTATCACATTACAATAATATCATTAACTACACTCAACTGACAAGCATTGAAGAAAGTTGAAAATTTCAAATATACAGAAGTTTCCGGCAAGGAATTAAGCCCGTAATTGGTGAAAATACGGATATAACAATTTTGAAATCAATATGTTCTGTTTAACGGATGTACTTTATAAATAGTTTCCTTCACTTTTAACGTTCATTAAATAAAGTTAAGGAGAAATTGTACCATAAACGGTGTGTTTATGTTAATAAAAATGGTAAAACTGCTTATGCTTAGGCATCAATTCATCTAAATAAAACTTTCTCAAGTTGATTTTCTAAGTTTATTAATCGAAAATAGTTTATTTTTTTTTTTTTTTTTGCCTATTATTTTTAGTACAATGCTAAAGTTATATAGAATAACTAAACAGTCAAAAGTATTAGATTCTCCTTTATTTTGATCTCTGCAGAAAATGTGGAAAACCCCTTTTCGAAAGGCCATTTGTTGGTAGACAACTTTGTCAGATCTAATTTTAAATTATAATAAATAAACTGAATAAAGCAATCAGTTTATACCCATAGTTAAGATTAGGAGACATGTTAAGGTCTGACATTACTTTAATGCATTGAAACAAATATATGAAGCGACTTCAATAATTAAAAAAAGAAATGAAGGGTTCAGGACGATAATACATACCCGAACAGAGGGCGTAGAACTTTCAGTAAAAAGTTTTCTGGAACTCCAAGCATTTAGCTGGTTATCGTCGCGCTTAGAATTGTTGTAAGAGCCTGGATTTCCATGTTTTTTCTTTGTATCTGAAAGAACACATTAAACAATGATCGATGATTGCATATTATTTTAAAATCTTCTAATTTATTATATTGTATTTTATTAAATGATATGCAAACAAATATTACGAAGAGAGCTAAGCATGTGAAGTCAGCTTACCTGGCACTTTCACATGAATAAATTTAAAGTAAAATGTATTTTATATATTTTATTTAAAAAAAAACTCTTTTCGGAATACATTTAAATTACCCCAAAATTACCATGGAACAAAATAAAGGTAACGAAAAAGCTGAAGGCGAACAAAATGATGTTGGTGAAAAAGCAGCTGGTGATAGCGAAGATGTTAAAATTGGGATTATCGGAGAATGTGGGCTCGATACACCCGTTGTCCTAACAAATAGGCAAGAATGTGCCGTATGTACACCATTCGGAAAGCCTTCAGATATTATTATTGAAGGCAAAATTGAAAATTGCAACTGTGCCCTACTATCACGTAACGGACGTCTCCATGACATAATGCCAACTAATGTTAATTACAGAGCTAATATTTGGGCAATGCGTAAATTGGGATGCACACATATCTTGGTTACACACACCGTCAGCTCGTTGCGTGAGAGTATTCAGAGTGGCGACATTGTTGTACCGCACGATTTCATTGACAATACAACAAAACGTTGTCAAACATTCTATGACGGCGCTGTTGGCAGCCCATTTGGCGTCTGCCACCTTCCCATGTATCCTGCATTTTGTGATCGTACACGTCTTCACCTTATTAATGCAGCCAGAGAACTGAACCTGCCCGTCCATTCCAGAGGAACCGTTCTGACGATAGAAGGACCTCGTTATTCTACCGTTGCGGAAAACAGCCTGTACCGGAATTGGGGAGCTGATTTGCTGAGCATGACGCTATGCCCGGAAGCCGTATTAGCTAAAGAAGCTGGTATTCTATACGCATCTTTGAGTTTTGTGACCAACAAAGAGTGTTGGTGTACGAATCAGCCTATTGCAACAACTCACGAAATAATATATACATTCAAAAAGCAAGTTGAAAAGGTTCAACAGGTTTTAGTTAAAACCATTCAAAGTATTTCAAAAGAAGATTGGACTGAAGACATATTAAAAGCTAAGGTAAATCTTTCTAAACTTATTCCAAAATTTATACTTAATTCAGCGTTCTTTGCAGATTTTGGTGTGCAGCAATTTCTCAAACCGCAACGAATTGACTTAGGAAAATTAAAAATAACATCTTATATTTGGAATTAATACAAATATCAATATTTCGTCGCCATTGTACCGAGTATGGTATCTAAATTTCTTCTTGGTGTTTCTATATTATTTGGACGTTGGTAAATTTTCATGTGTACAAAATCTTTTTTTCTTCAATTAAATCCCTGACGAAATGCTTATTTAGAACGTAACAATCAGTTGAAGCTGAATATTATCTTTATAAATAGTGGAATGGACCCATTTACACGCATCTTCCAAATTGTATACGTTTCAAGTTTAGCATCTGCATGACAGATAGGTAACGTTTGACTAAATCTAAAGGCTACTTGTTTTATTTAATCACAGTTATTTACTGTCCTCAAATAAGTGGTAGATTCATTGCACACAATTTATAATATTTGTTAACTGTAAAGACTGTTTTGGTTGCATACGTGTTTACCCTTAATATTTTTGTTGTATCTGACTGTTGTAACCGAAAGAATTCTTTACGAAGGGCATGCTCAGGCGAGTCATCCATGATTGTCTATGTATCTTGCTCATAGCTTATGGACAGCTCGCTTCCATCGAACATTTGCCCAAGTGTACTCTTGTCGAGAGTGCCTGAATGAAAAATATCTTAAGCCCTTCATATATCTGCTTGTTAGTTTTATATAGTATACATGCAAAAGTCTTATTGGCTTTCAAACTATACTCTACTCTTATCGAAACTGAGACGAGATATCAAAACAATACTGAATATGGTATTCAATAATTTATACTTTAAATGTTCAGTCTCCTAATAAGAATCGAAAGAGGCTCAAACTCAAGAATATATATAAGTAATGTTGTCTGCCACGGCCCTCCCAATTATATCACATTTCCTCGTATCTAATTTTTTACTGTCAAATTATTAAGGAAGGCAAAATTATAGAAAAAATCTTTGAATAAGTGACCCAAATAATTTAATATTAATATTAATTTTAGTGAACTTTTTTGGAAAACTTCTAGATTCCTATTATATATAGTAGGGTATATAAGGAATACTTACCATTGTTGTGAGATGATTTACGTCCTTTACCCACGTTTGTCAATGGTAAACTGTTATTCTCCTTTACATTAAATGGTGGAAATTGAAATTGCATTGAGCCTTGAATACCTGTTATTTGAAATATAGTATCATAGAGCGAGCTTAAAGGGTATTTAATTAATTAAACTCTACCAGAACTATCGTCATTTGCTGGAGAAGATAGATTTTCATAGTAGGCTTCATCAACTTGTTGGCTCCATGGTATATTACGCTCCTCAACGGATTTTGCTTAGTTATTAAAAATAACAACAAAAAATATAAATAATTTTCAATTTTAAAATTTTGCCGGTTTTTGGATGGAATATATATAAATGCACATAACTAATATTTTAGAATAGTTAAGGAAATACCAATATAACTATGTCCAACATTTTCAAATATTTGTCTATGTGAATTTATATATTTACTTATGAAACAACTTTGAGAAGCTCGGATTTTGTTATACATGTACCTGCAGTTCCGGATATTTTCTGAAAGAAATAAGGAATACTTATTAGTTTTTCTCTACACACACGTATATTGCAAATGAGTTTTGACATACATAAATATGACAATAAAAAAGTATGAAATTATAAGTATTTGTATACAAAACTTCCCAAATTTTTTCTTTAAGCCTTTAAAATTATAATGAACACTCATACATATATAAATCTGTATGCGCATACATACATAAATGTAAGTATGTATATATACAAAAATGCCATTACCTGATCCACGCCTGACATTTGCTGCCGAATTCAGCTTTCTTTGTTAGCTGCAAGTATTGATAATTTTTAATTAATTCTGATGCTTTAAATCTGATTATATCTTACCAAAAAATAATAAATAAACACAACGGAGGTAAAATTTGCTGTTTAAAACGCTTTAATAATTTATAGTATGTATTTTCGACACATAGAACTACACTCATTTACACATGTACATGTAAATCACACACAAACGTTGCACACATACATAGAAGTAGACATCGGTAGCAATAGACGCGTCAGAAGCCGATATTTATATTAACGCCGTTGTAAACAGCATTAGAGTTGTCACTCTTTGTATTTATACATATACATAAATTAAAACATGTAAATACAGATATTCTTGGTATGCAAATGAATAAAAATTTTAAAATATTCTACAAATTTTTTCAATTGTTTATTATATTAAGCAGCAGCAACTATCGGGCATTGATTGTCTGATTACTATTAACCCGGTTATTTAACAGTTCTGCTCCTCATCTTTAAAGTTGAATGAACTTACGCAGTAAATTATAAAATACTTTAAAATACCGAAAAAAGATGCTTGATTTTATGTGGGAGGATAATTTCTATAATAATAATAAAATTAGTAACTTTAGTTTTAAGATCAATTTTTTTGGACATTTCTAAACTTTCATTGTTTGTCATCTGATTATTTGTAATAGTATGAGTTTTCCAATAGACTTGTAGCTTAAATTTAAATTGTTGCATTTTTGGAAAGCTTCACAAATCTTAATGAAATGAAGCAATGCAATTCAATTTAATTTGAATTCCGGCATTTGTAAGAAAACTCTTCGATTTCGACGCACATGTTCATGGTATCCTTAAATTTATTTTATAAGTATGCCAAGTATCAGTTGCATATAATATCGATAAGAAACATCGATATAATCTATCAATTATTTTGCCATCCCTTGGCCAACTCATCTTTGCAGCAATTGTCAAATTTTGCTGTTCTGTATATTAAAAATCAAGAAAATGCTTAAATCACTTTTTGCAATCCTTGCGATCTTAGGATGTATTTGGCCAATTCATAGCGTCATGTTCCATCTGACACCAAACACACAAAAGTGTCTTAAGGAAGATATACAAGCGAACCAGTTGGTAATGGGCGAATACGAAGTCTCCGATGTTCCCGGCCAAGTTATAGACTATATTGTAAGTTTCAATTCGTTTAATAGTTGGCGAAACCCAATAATATAAACTAATTATTATAGGCACGCGACACCAAGGGTCATATATTGTCCCAAAAAGAACATATTACCAAAGGAAAGTTTAGCTTCATGTCAGAGGTGTATGACGCGTACGAAATTTGCTTCATTTCAAAAGTGCCACCACGTAAGTAAATGCATGTTTTTCATGCACAAATACCGCATGTTAACTGTTTTAAATGAATTAAAATAGATCAACGTGGAATTAGTCAAGAAGTCTCATTAGTTACTAAAAAAGGAGTTGAAACTAAAAGCTATGAAGGCGTAAGTATGAACTTGAGAAAATAAAAAAAAAACACATTTTTAGCTAAACTAATTTTTAATTAAAAGATTGGCGAAGCATCCAAACTGAAACCACTCGAGGTTGACCTAAAGCGCTTAGAAGATCTCTCTGATTCCATTGTACGTGATTTTGCTCTAATGCGCAAACGAGAAGAGGAAATGCGTGATACAAATGGTAAAAGGAATCCTAAATTACTCCCATTATATACTACATTTATTCGTTTTCTTTTTCAGAAAAAACAAACAGTAGAGTTCTGTTCTTCAGCATATTCAGTATGTGCTGTTTGCTTGGCTTGGCAACTTGGCAAGTTCTATACCTTCGCAGATATTTCAAAGCAAAAAAACTCATCGAATAATGTTTATAAAGTTATTCAGAGACGTTACGTACATTTCGAAGAGCCTGAGCTTCAACATCTATCTTCTCATCTTTTCCTTTAAAAATAAAATGTAACAAATTAAATGTTTTTGTTATTTAAATTAATTGGGCACCGTTCTTTATATAAATTTGATGTTACCGTATTTAATATTCATTTAACACACAACAACATTATTACAACGATATATATAAGTATTATTTTGAGATGCAGTATATGATTTCCTTCGGCATTATCCATATTGGCGACATTTGATTAGGCCATCTAAACGGTGGTCTCTTTAAGCAACACTCCATTTTCTGCCTCTAGATTGTCAACACAATTATCTTCGCCTGGCACATTAAGGCTTGAAGATATTGTCTTGACCACAACATAATGGGAACTTGTCGGACTCGGCGGAATGCCAGCGTCATCCACATTCGATTGTTCCCGCCAGAGACTTTCGTCCACGAGGGTTTGATTCATTAATGTCTTAAGTGAATCGAGTGTTTCGACCAAGCAAGTTGGCTTTGTCGAACCTACAACAACATAAAATCAGTGTTCAGTCCAATTATAATCTTGTTACAAACAAATGCAAAACAAGCTGAAACAATAAAAATCACTCAATGAATTGAAGCGCTCAAAATAAAAAGAGAATGCAATTAAACATATAACATGAATTATTTTATTTTTAATAATTATATTTAAAACTAACTAAAAAATAAACAAATAAAAACTTAAGGGAATATATATATGTCAAAATACATATATCTATTTGGTAAAATACATTTTTATTTCATTAATTTATTCCATAAATAGGAAGTCATATCTTGCTACCCGTGGGAATCCAAATGCCCTACACATAAAAACCTATATTGGTATTTGTAGAACTGGGAAATACATTGTGATTTCTAAGTGAAATATTTGTTAATTATGAGAAATTTTGTAAAAGTACAAATTGATTCTTTACTCTGCATGACGCATCCAACTTCATGCATTACACTATTGTAGGACTTAATTATCAGATTCGGCTAGCCTGACTTGTACTGATAAAGGTAGATAGATTCAACTATTCATTCTTATAAGCATAATATTTTAAAAGTTAATCAATTTGGCGACAAAATTATAATACCCATGAAAGGCGTATCATTGGGAGATAAGTATTCAGACATCTCTTAATAATACAACAAAGATTAGATAAATATTTATATGCATGTAAATAAAATAGCATATTTTATGTTATATTATATTACATGTTGGAAACCACGTTACTCGGAAATCGACATTGCTGTGTTTATCTTTGGTGTAACAACGACTATTAAAATTATCTATCAAAGTTAATTTCATTTACATGGTTTGCAGATAATCTTATATTTTTGTTTAGTTCATAGCTAAGACCTCATTAGTATTTTGCTCCTTTCCCATATACAAGAATATTTTTTTTGTCTAACATAAATTACTAAAGAGAAAAGAAATCAATAAATTGACAGCAATTTGATTTAAGATTCATTTTTCAGTTTGTTGACCTTAAATATAAGTATAGAAGCCCAGCTGCCTAATACATATTCTCGCCACTGGTATTTGTTATTAGGGTTTGAATCATATCTAAAAGCAATTTATACTATTGATTTTATACATAAATATAGCAACAAAAAGATAGAGAAAAAGATATTTTAAACAGAACAGTTTCAAAGAAATTAATTGAAATATTAATAAAATAAAAACAACTTAGAAATACTGATAACAATAAATATATAATAGAAACTTATATTAGTGAATTGTACAGCACATAGAAAAAATGCTAGGATTGCGATTTGGACTGTTCGAAAGAGATTTTGGTGTGCACATAGCGTCAACATTATTAACATCACCCTTAACAACAGCAGCCTCATTCCTCTCTGAGGTATGCATTCGTTGTAGGTCTTCTAATCGAGACTTTAACTGCACAGGCGTGACAGAGTTTCTTGACTGTTTCTTTGTAATAGGATGAACCGATTGTAAAGAAAATAAATCATCATTTGCATTTGCATTCACGTTTACTTTTCCGTATTGTCCAGAGTATTGCTCTTCATGATCTTCATTTAGGATATCCATGCTCTGTTCATTTTTGCAACTATTACTGGAAGCACTTGTAGTTGTGCTTCTCAGCTCAGGATATGGTGAATGAGACTCATTGCTTTCTGGTGTATACGGGTCCATTTGTGCGTTTTCGGCGTAGGTATTAAGATGCTGCGTATCGATTTGATTTACTATTATATTTTCTGATAATACTACGCTATTGGAAAATAACCTATAACGATGTTCAGCAGGCTGCTTTTTCATTATATTACGGCACATTGGGCAAATGGCACTATTAGTCTGAGCCTCAAGTTCTGCATTGCAAGGGTCATAATTACACATTTGTGTACACATACACACATATATGTTGTCGGAATCAATTAAATTTATGCTAATGCTTGGATGGTTTGACGCGGCTTTCTTTGAAGTTTCGTCGTCTCCAGTCTCTATATTAGTTGTATCATGTCCGCTTGCGCTGTTTGCGTAGTCAGCTAAATGGCCTTCTGGAAATTCTAAGGGACAGTCTTTTGATTTTCTTTCTTGACTTAGACTTTTACCGTCTGTTATAATTTGATTATATAACTTGCTTATATAGGGACAAGTCTTGAATTTAATGGGTGATGTTAAGTTGTTGTTGTTATTAGCATTTGTGTGTGTACAACTGCAATCACATGATCTATAAGTACCTTTGTTTGGCTTTAGGCGAAGAGTTAAGTAAATAGGCTACATGACAAGAAGAGAAGAAAAGAAATATTAGAATTATCAACAAAAATAACGCATACTTTATGTGAAATTTAGAAATAGTCAATGCATTAAGAACCCATTATCATGTAGACACGTCAAATATCGATGAGTCTACTTTTAATTTCTAAGCATTTACCACAGTTTAACAGGTGCAAATAGAACCCCAACAATAAGTAACCCTCACTTGTTTTCTATCAGAATTAGACCAATGATATTCATATATGGATAAACAAATAAGTTATCAGCACACTTATAAAATGTTAAATACTTTGTTATTTTGCATTACAAAATGTATAAAAAATATTGGTGGAGAATGTTCTTTTGACTTAACAGTTATAAAAAATTACTAGCAGTTAGTCACTGACATATATTAAAATCGCATGGTTGAAAGACTTCAATAAATGGCTTCCCAGTTAGTTATTTTTTTTAACCATCTATAAACTAAAGTATACACAATATCGAATTTTCCGCTAAATACCTAATTAATGTTACTACTGCTTGATTATACATATATACACACAGATCAACGAATCCGGCTCGAATTACGAGTCAAGTCGGAAAATGTCCATTATACCGTTAACACACTACGAAAAGTAATATAAAATCTGATATAATTGTATAATGAATGAAAGCGGCACGATCAAGGACATATGAAACTAACTGTTTACACTTATTATTTTAAAAATATTAATAAATCTTCCGAATATACTTAAAATTTTAATTGTTCACAGCTTGCATTCTGACCAACTTCCTAGTAGCTTTAGAGCTGCCGGTTAATCAAGCCACTGGCGAATTCTGGCTTATATCACTGAAATATTCTTAAACTCGATTGCATTAAAACAGCTAAGCGTAATGTACCTAAGCAACTTAATAAAAATAAAATATATTTTTTAACCCAAGCTTACGAAATTCAAAACAAATTATCTTTTCAACGATAATACTAAATATTATTAATTATGAAATATTAATCATAATTAATTAAAGTGATATTTAATACGTCGCAACGTACTGCTGTACTTCCCCTCTACACAAACAGGGTATGTGTACACATCTATCTACTTGGGCAATGAATACTGTTGAAATGCAATTTACAGTCGAGTTTCTCTCTATTTTTAAAATAATCCTTTGAAGATAGGGTATTACAACAAAGTTATGAAAATCTACATCATAAACTAATTCATATACGTAGTTATCACTTAATATTAACATTTGAATATCAATTGTTCTTACCTTATGATCGCCCATGCATACAGATTCTCCAATCATGTCATATTTCCATTCATCACTTTCAATTATGTCTTTGACCTGTGGAGACATTAAAATGCGATCGCACCATGATGGACACCTAGTTGACATATAGTCAGTTGGCATTTCGGGATCTTCTTCAAAGGGATATGATGGAATGAAATTTATTGGATATTCAACCAAAAGCTCCGTAAGTGGGGCCAACTCCTTGTCGAACTCTTTCAACTAAGACATGGAACAAAAACGAAATGGAATTAAAATTTGATAAATAAATTTGTACTTAAAGCAAATTACCCATAATTCTTTAAATTTTAGCTGATGATCAGCGTGACTAAATTCTTTTTTGCCTACAGTAAGTATGTTGTTGCCATCTGAGTTGCGGTAATTAATCTTAGTGCTTTCATTTTTTACACTTTGTAGACGATGCGCAGTTAAATTTGCAGTTAGTTCCTTAAATTATTAAACAGAAAAAACTGATTTTAATATTCTATGAGGAATATACTCCAATTAGCTAAACTTACTTTCACAACACCCGCTGTGTCACATCTGAAATTAAAATCTCCAAACAAGAAAAAAGGGACGGAACCATTTTTGTCATCCAAGTGAAATCTAATTAATGATAAATTATTTAATAAAAATTAAGAGACTATTTATTTATATATTGTACTTTTAAAGCATGTTGCTCGCACCTTCCCTGCCAAATATCTTTCATAATTACACTTACAACAAAACTTATAAATACATATCAATTTTCCTATTTAAAGAGATCGGTGAGTTATCTAATTAAAAATATATTTATTCCATGGGGGAATTACGACCATATTGAGATTTAAGAAAGTTTGGGAATTGTCATAACGAAATCAACGAATATGATTCGTCTAATTCTGGGTATATAAAAATCTCTGACATATCTAGAAGCTAGAAGTAAAATACTTTTATTTAATTGTTTAACAATAAAATTCGCAGTGAGGTTAGTTGAAATCTAAAAAATATATTCATTTCAAAGATATTTTGTTTTAGGCAGTGAAGATGTGCGCAATATTTTTTAACCATTTAGCGTATTGAGGTATTTTATCATTTACCTTTCAATAGTGTGTATCAGGGCTCTTCTCCTTGTTTTGCAGTAAACAGATGGAAAATCTTCACACGCAGCCAAATTGGATGCGTCATGAAAAAGATGTATATTGACTAGATCAATGGCTGTGCCATTAATTTCCCATCGAGTTCGCATAAATCCCTTTCGAGACCATTTACACTAGATTAAAAGAAAACATGATCTGTATTGACACTAAAATTAAAACTTAAAAAACGGTTTCTCTTAACAGCTTAACTTGGATATATTTTTGGATATTTATATATTATATATTTTTCAGGGCTTCACCTAAACATATGCGAGTATGCATAATAATTAAAGTGGCCCACAAAATTTTAAGAAATTTAGCAACCAAGACTATACATTTCTGAAGGCTTTTTTTACTTGCTTTTATCGACTTGCTTGAAGACACGTAAAAGAAAGAGCGAAAGGGCAGTGGGGCAGCAAGCTAGTAAATTAGTATAATAATAATTTTCCATGAACAATAGAAAATTAAAATTTACATTTACTAAAATAGTTTAAAGAAAATTTACATATTGGTATGTTGAAATCAAGTTTAGGTGACGTCAACGGCAAAATTTCCGGTTCCTAACTTAGGTCTGGTTAATTACCTTTGTTACTCATTAAACATTTGTACAAAAATTCAAAGTAACTAAAGATTTCAGTTTTTAAGATCATCTCTAAAAGATTTGCATAATTTCTAATTGTTGTGTTAATTTACTTATTTTTATCTATTAATACTATGAATTTAATCGAGCAAGACTTACTTCTGGAAAAAAGTGCTGGGGAAACTTGGCTTTCTCCTTGGTAGGAACTGTTTCAATATTACCACAAAATATGTGTGTGTCATTGTCTAGTTTATTATCATCCCAGCAGTGATATAAAAAATTCCAAATTCTTAAAGTACTTATATCCTTGTGGCCGAAGTAAATGTTGCCAAGTGCCTTTTATAGGAAGAAAAATATATTTTATTTTCACAAAAGGATTGCACAAAAAGTAAATAAACTCACTGTAAAATGCTCCGCTGACTTGAAGTCCTCATCCATATATATTCGGACGAATATAAATTCAGTCTTTGCCATTTCCTCGCATAAACGTCGAATAAATTCTTGTACATTGCCCATTGAATTTTCGTACGTTTTTCCGCCCACCTCTTGCAAATGTAAAGCTAAAAATCTGGGACTGATTTTTGTTACATTCCCAATGAACTCTTCTAGCCATATTGTCAGTAACCTTTGTGGCTGCACAGTGTTGTGGTTCATGAAATAATTTGCATTCAAACTTATTTACATACATAAAATCATAAGCATATACATACGTGCTTTAGGATACAAATATGCACATAAGTACCAATAGGTATTTATACAATAAATTATATGTACGTACATCTTCAAATAAACTTCCCACATTGGCTGTTACTAGCAATATCTTCGTATCTGAATCTGAATTGGCTCTTTTTGTTTCCATTTTATCTGACATTCCCTAAATTTATGTATCTTTTGGTTTGTTAAAGCAGAGAACAGTAGGGATGTAACAAAAAAACAATAATAATTCGATAACTATTAAATTATCGTAGCAAAACATCGCTGTTATATCGATAAGTTGAAAAATTCGTTTTGAAAAGTCAATTTTCAAATATGTTAAGGATATGAGTGACAAACATTTAATTATGGTAATATAACTTAATGAAGAAAGAAGAACAACCATCTTTGATATTTTCCACCATTAATATGAGTTCATCGAGAATAAAAATGGAAACTTCAAACTTGAATATACTTAACTCAATTCAGTACTAGACATTAAATGACATGAGGTAACCGAATTGGCCAGGAACAAAACAAATATATCTGTCCAAACTGAAACCGTAAATATATCATGTCAAGCATCAACTGAATCTCTGATCCACATCGATGTTAAGTGGAAGTCCTATATATAATCAAGAAAAAGGAGAAATTTGACTACATTTCACTATGAATTTATAAGATTTTACAGTACTGCTGCACGTTGGCATATAATAAACTAATTTGTAATTAATTCGCGAACGCCGATTGTAGGAAGAAATATGACACCGAACTTTGCTTCAAATCCATACTATTCTAACTGACAATAAGGTCCTCTAAGCCACAGTTTTATATTTATATATATATTATTTTGTCAGGAGGATAGATTTTATTCACTAAGAGAAGCATTTTATTGTTTTTGCCTATTGTTGATTTTTATACGATAATTAAACATATTACACAACAAAATATGTATTTAAAATTAAAAATAATTTAATTTATAGCGACAACATATAACACAAAAAAATATGTATTTAAAATTAATAATAATTTAATTTATAGCGACAACATACGCGTTTTATAAGACGAATGAGCTAAAAATGAGAAGTATTTTTTATTTAATAAGTGTTTTAATACTTAATAATACAGCATTACCAAAATTCCATTTAGATGGAAATTTTGTTTCATTTCGCCCGTTTCACTTTCAAGTTTTATTAGCTTTGAAATATCACGTACAATTGTTCTACTATCTATCGATATATAATAAATATCGGATCTTGGTGTAATCTCAGAATTTTTGTGGCATCCCTATTTATAGTTACATTTTCTAAGCTGAAATGAAAATTGAGAAAGACCTGTATTTCGTATAGTTAAAGAAATTAACAATGGTTTCTATGCAATTTGTGTTGCAGCCACTTCCAGGAACTGATGAGCAATTCATTGAAAGGTAAATCGCCTTGCTAATAAAAATAATAATAATTAGTGCATTCATATGTACATAGTATTGATCATCTGCACATGTTAGACACATGTACATATCTATTTTACTCAATACTACATATGTATATGAAAAATGTATATATACGTACATTTTTAGGATGATATTGGGGTTTGAAAATTAATCTATATATGTATCAGTCGAGTTTAAAGTACCACATATTTATACATAAACATATTCGTGTGCACATATAGTAATGTACATATACTATAATATATACATGAATATGCATATAAATGTGTATATAAATTTATTTATACATGTATATATAAATTTACGGAACACGGGCAACAGATTGGTGTCTATGTTTGTATTACAAAGGTATTTATTAATTGTATTTTCATATTTAAAATACATATTCAAAAAGAGCATTAAGGAACAGCAACATAGCATAAATGTGCATGATTCAGAAAAGTATGTGAGGATATTTCACTATAAACGACTTCTGTATTTATAACTCCTGTAGAGTTATTCCAGATTATCAAATTAACTTTCCTTGGTTTTTTTTAAGAAAAAAAGGAAAAGAAAATAAAAAATTAGCAAACAATTAAACTAATGGCATGTGTTTTTTATGGCATTTTTCTCGAATGTGGGAGACAACTCTAGGGGAGGCATGCCCTGTAGCGATGGTATTCACATAAGTTACTCTTTGGTTTTCTGAAAATTATATATTTGGCATTTCTAATCGTGTTTACATCTGGTGACAAATAGATTACAATTTTAATATATAAATTATTACCATGTATTTAATTCCCGACATATTTGTAATTACCCAATTTAGAATACGAGAAGTCTCTGATAAAGTAAATCGCTTCGGTTCCGGTACTCATAGAATATTTGAGCAATTGAAAATCCCCGTAAGGGAGGTGGTAATTGGACCTAATCATATTGGAGTGCTTTTAGAAGATGGAAAAGCATTTCGGGTCGCCTTCTCTATCAATTCTGAAAAACTTGATTTGACTAAATCTGACAATAAATGGTATGATTATTAATAATTAAATAATAATTAAATTTAGATATTAATATTGGTTTTGCTTGCTTAAAGTACGCCGTCTGGTGGAGTGGCGGCAACAAATGCACCAAAGGCACCATCGTCGTCTCGGCCTATGGCCCGCTCTCGAGCACGACTACTTCGAGCAACAGGTAGGACAAGCTCAAGTGGTCAAGGCTCTGGATCAAGAAGTACAGGTGTAATAATTGGGGGTAGCACGTCTAATCGACCCCTAGTAACAGTGCCAGCCACATATGTGCCTGAAGAGCTTATATCTCAAGCTGAGGTAGTATTGCAGGGGAAAAGTAGGAATCTCATTATTAGAGAACTTCAGGTTTGTTATCTCAAATTTATTGTAAACATAAATCTTATTTCCCACTTTTTAACTTGTAGCGCACAAATCTTGACGTTAATTTAGCTGTGAACAATTTGCTTTCACGTGATGACGAAGAAGCTGAAGATACAGAAGAGGGAGGAGACAACTATGTACCAGAGGACCTAATTTCATTGTTGGATAATGGGTTTTCGGGTGACAATAATAGCGTCATTATTGATCCCTCAGACGGACTTTTCTCAGAAGAAATATTTAGTAATTATTCGAGCATAAGAAAGTAAGTTATATAAAATAACGTTTACTATTATTTTATTTGGTAAAAAGCCTATATTTAACAAATACAATTCATAGAAATGGCAAGAGGATTATTAAAACCAATTGAAATTACCCTAATAGCAGAAGTCCAATCCATAAAATAGTATTTTGTTAACAAATATAGCGAATAGTTACAAATATTGCAAATGTAATATTTATAACTAAGACCGGTTATTTTAATATTAGTTTACTGATAAAATCGTTTATTTTCTAGTCTTCTCTTTGATCGGATTCGTAGTGAACGGAACAATGCAAATTCAAGTGGCGCGGATAATAATCAGTCCAATCGAACATCGGCATCTTCTAGTGGTGTTATAGCAGGAAGTGCCAGCCTTTCAGCTCAAATATCTTCTGCTAATGCTGATCGCGAAGCATTTAGTCGATGGCGTGATCGGCAGTATTACGGACCTCGCCGTTGGATAAGTAAAGATGATTACACATGGGATAAGGATACAGGTTAATATATATAAAATTACAAATTAAATAACAGAAAGAACTCTTCAATATCAAAATGTAATTTAGATCCAAAAAAGAAAGAACCGTCTTCCATGCCTTCTCCGATATGGATATCAGAAGAACTACAACCTTGGCCTGACAAGCCATCAACTCGTTTTAAGACTATTGGAGCATTGTACTCCGAGTTTATTGCTCTGTCAGAAAATGGAGAGCTCCATCAGTGGCGCTGGTCAGACTTGGAGCCCTACAAATCAGATGTAAGTAGGATTTTCTAGAATTCAATTTCGTAAATCAAACATTAAGCTAGAAATAGAAATAGACATCTAACTACAATTTTCAAAATTATAAAGGACGTTCTTAACGATTACCACCGATTTTTGAATAATTTTAAACAGATATAACAACTATATTATAATAGCATGTTAGGTGTAAAGTCTCGTACATACACCATACAAGTTAATGTTTAGTTTATGTAATTGTATAATGGGTAAATTTTTAAGTAAAAATTATTTTAATTTTCAATATACCTTTTTTCTTTCGCTAGACGGATAACGTTTATCATCCAAAGACCTTGACACTTAACATTGGAGAGAAGGTGGAGCTTATATCAGCAAATTTTATAAGATGCTCCGTAGTCACTGAATCTAATCGAGTTGCTACTTGGATGGACGAACAGCTTGGTTATCTTGGTGCTAAACTAGAGCATGCTGCTACGGCTTTTAATGAATTTAGCATGGACCCCATCGCAACGATACATGTTTGCTCATTATACACGGCTGTTAGAACCGATAACAATAATATTTATTGGTGGGGAGTTCTTCCTTTCGATCAACGCCGCTATTTGTGGGACAAATTTCGAACAAAAAATAAAAAACCATTTAAAATGGTTGTGGCAGATATAAACGTAGGATCACAAGTGGTTATGAAGAAGTGTCCTATTTACCAAACTGGCTCTATTGGTTTTACGTGTACCAATGGAGTGCCCAAAGTTGGACAGCTATTAAACTCTGTATGGGATTTCGCAGACGTTTGCCGTATGAAAATCTTAAATGTCGGATCAACTTCGGTGCCTGATAAATCCCAAACTCTGGGAACGATTTCTAATGTTCATAGCGGTATTGCTGATAAGGATAATTCCAAGACCACTCCTGTACAATCTACAAGCTCTGGAAAGAGTGGACAAATAAGTTCAACAAGTAAAGAATCTACTGATCGCATCGACATGCCTCCTCCACCTTCCCCAGCATCTAGCACATGTAGTGATACCGGTAGTGTTACTTCACACAAACGTACTAAAAGAATGACAACTAAAGAAGATGGAAACAGTTGTCAAGAAGGAAGAAAGGATGAAGAGCTATGGCAACTTAAAGACGTCGTATTCGTTGAAGATAAAGTGGGGCCGGTTGGAAAAGTTCTCAAGGTAGATGGGGATTACGTGGCAGTCCGATTTCCACCATTAAGTTGTGTCAGTAGCGTTCCCGGTTTAAATAGTAAAGAAGAAGGAAAAGAGGACGACTGGCAACAGTGCCGTCTGTTGCGACGTGAGGACGTCCAAGTTTTTCGAACAGCAGTTTCTTCACGTGGACCGGATTGGTTACAAAAACAACCGAAGAAAATAAATATTGGTGCCGATCCAACAAACGCTCAG